GGAGCTCTGATGGGGTTTGAAGGGTCACTTAAAAGAAAATATGCAGGAACTGAACCTTCTCACAGTCCCCATCATCATGTCCAGCCAGCCCCAGAGCCAAACCCCTCAGCCCACCCTTGGTCACTCTCATGAACTAGTCATCCTTATGGACTTGAGAAAAATGTGGAAGAAGGCAGAGTTGAATGGAAGAGGTATCTTACAGTGGCTCAAAAAACTGTCCCAATGTTTGTGCAATTTAGGCTCCTGGTTTGGTTGTGCCAGTGGGGCATTTAGCCTTTACAACACCAGCTTTACCACAATCATAACAGGAAAATATGATCAAACTTTGGCTTTCTGATCAACATCAATTGCATACAGATTACAAGCTGTTGACCCAGAAGAAGACTCAGTCTTTCAAAGGTAGGCACAGTCCTAGGGAGCTGTCTTGTAAAAATGTTAAGGGTAGTCACTGCAGTGTGAGCATTAGTGGCACAGCCAATCCATTCTTCAACAGTCTCAGGCTTGGCTCCAGCCATGAGGATCCATTTATTGATATCTTCATTGAGTCCTTGTCTGAAGAAAACAGCAGTAGTGGCATCCCCAGTACTGATCCCAGCATTATTGATACAGTTTCAGAATTTGGTTATGTATTTGTCTAGGGGGTGGTTTCCCTGTTTACTAGCAGAGAGGTGGATCAAGGCCATTGCCTTGACATTTCCAACTTGGAGGGTGGTCTTGAGTTTTTCTATGAATGCATCCCAACCATCATAGATGCATACATACATAAGTCTCCTAGCAAAGTTATGTTTCTGTTAATGTAGGCCTCAGTGAATGTGTGGGCTGAGCCACTGCCCACATAGGAGAGAGCAAACATGATTTTGTGGCAGTCTTCATAATAGGCATGCTCATTTGTAGTGAAGTAGAGCTTGACCAAGCTCAACCAAAGTCATTGTGGCTCCCATTATACAACAAGGGTTTGTTGAGGCCAACCCCCTTAGTGGTTCCCCTCACTTCAGAGCCATGTCCCATTCTTTCTCTGTCATGTAGGACACAACTGTCATCTGTGAGCCTGGGTAGGTCATCTATGCTTTATCCAATAGCTGTGAGGATACAGAGTGTCTGGTCACCTCATAGGAAAGTTGAGTAGTCCTTGTTGGACTTGTTTATGCTGCATTCAGCTTACAAGAAAAATATCTGCACTAGGCAGGGCTCATAACCCATTGAAAAGGGCACTGTAGGCAGCCTCAGTAGTGACCAAGCTAGTGAGGGAACAGTGTAATGACTGTGTACCAGGTGCACTCTAAGCACTTCATGTAAGCAGCCAAACAATGCACCAAAGGTAATGAAAAGACAGGGGAGAATATATCTCCAACAGGTTTCACCAACCCAATATGACTACACAGTCAAAAAGGTCATAGTACATATGGTACTGGTGCATGAATTCAGTATTGCATTGATATTTGCCAGATCCATAGTCAGGCTTGCTGAAATGCATAAGCTTGATGCAAAGTAACAATGCATTGGGTTTTTATGAATATTATGCATTATCCCTCTGGTGGGGGATGGACTTTCCCCTCACTAGACCTTGATGAGGTCCAGAGGCTTGGTGTGGTGGCTGCCCCACTGCCTAAGAAGTGAGTTATACAGGTGGAATTCCTGTCAGGTGTTCAAAGTGAAACTAGTCCACCCCCTCCATCCAAAGGATGGGCGTCAAGCTTCCCTGAGCCGACACTAAAAACAATCAGTGAAAACTTAGAGGTATGCACAGCCAGGGGTACAACCCTGGGGCACTAGAGGGAGTTGTTTGGTCTAGGCCCTGCTGCAGGAGGTTTCTGTTGGCATAGATATTCAGCTGGCCACCTCGCTTAATCCTGACACCTTCATATACAAATCAGAGGTAATCCCCCAAAGAGGGTGGCAAAGGTGCACCAGGAAGCATGGCATACGGCTGTTTTGACCCCTCTGGATTGGCTCCCTGTGCGGTCAGCAGTCCCCTTGTCAGGGTCTGTGTTATTGACCGGGAGGTTTTTAGTCAGTCGGGCCCCTTCGATGCCTTGAGCACAATGCTGTTTCCTAGCATGGGTAGCCCAACCTGACATCACCAGAGCTGACAACTGGTACTCACTTATGAGTTTTCCTCCTACCTAAAAAAAAAAAAAAAGAAAAAAAATATTATGCATTATCAGGTATGTAGAATGGTCAATGGGGATCAGCTGGGTGCATTGCTACATTGTCTGACAACCCTATTGTTTGAACTGCTATATAATGCGAATATGATGTAGTAGCTGCTGGTCCATCATATCATTTTTTGCAATGCTTCTCTCTCTAAAACATAAACCTCAAGGTGCCCCTGCAGATGCCCCTAAGCCTGAAAAATGGCAGAAAACTAAAGATGCTCCTTACACCTCGGCTCAAACTTCATCTGTAACTTGACAGAACCTCACACTTTCAGATTGGATGCAGGTCTATAGCTTCATTGATAGCCATCCTACCACAACTCAAGCCAATGTTGTTCAGCACTTCTGCTCATTAAAGACTGGTGCACTTCTCTTTGACTAATCAACCCCGTCTCACAAATTGTGGGAACATCTGAAAACAGAAGCTTGTGTCAATGACAATCCCACAGTGCTCTCATCAAAGTGGCCTCAGACTGTGACATCCCTGCAAGTTGAACATGCCCTGATTCTTTTGGCAGGACATATGGAAGGTTTACATGAGCCTATAACAGGCCAAATGCTACAGGAGAAGTGCAAGAGGTTTGAGGAAGAATCACAGATTCTGCAGAATGAAAGACCTGCTGGTGATGGGTGGCTGCAATCCTTTTGTAACACTTCAAAAATGTAGGAACATTGTCTACATGGTGAAGCAGGTTCAGTAGACACAACAGCTGTCAATGTGGAACAAGAACATTGTAAGAAAATTCTTGCTCAATATGCTCCAAGAAATCATTGGAATTTGACAGGACAGCACTATTCCAAGAGTAAGCATCCTTATCACCTGATTATCCTTATCTAATTTCCATTCTTAGTGCACCCCCAGACTGCAGTCTTGCAAAGAAACAGATGAGTGGAAAGAAAAAGGATAAGTCTCATATTGCTATTGGTTTTGCATGCAATGCCAATGGTAGTGAGGAACTTGAATGATTCTTTATTGGCAGAGCAAAGAAGCCTTACTGCTTCAAGAAACAAGAGCCAGAAGAACATGGATTTTACTATTGTTATAATAAAATGGCATGGATGACAGCAGATCTCTTAAAGAGGTAGAGGAAGGGATGAGGTGGGCACAATGGACAAGCTGTGGGAGCCAAGGAAGGTAGATAGTCAGCTGTCCAAGGCAAAAGCCCTGGACTCATCATCTGTGGAGTCATCCTCAGCTTCCTCAAGGAGATGGTCCAGTGCCTCATCATCTAAGCTGGTAATGCAAGTAACAGTTGCACAGGTTTGAGGCCATGGGTGGTAGGGGAGCAGGTGGAAAGCAGCAAAGCATGGCCTTGGAGATGGAACCATCCAACTTGGCCAGCAGATATGAGCCCCCAGTGGTCCAATAAAGGATGACAATAGGGCCAGTGTACCATGGCTTCATCTTCTGGTTCAGTTCTTTCTTGACACACAATTTGAGGACTAACACAAGGGTACCAGGTATGAAATTATAATCTGTAATGTGATGCTGGAAAGCAGCTTCAAACTGTTGGGCCAACTGGAAGCACACACATAGGATGTTGTCATGGACCTGGTCTAGGTCTTCCTGATGTTTATGCAACTGGCACACACACCATATGATCAGTTCTGTGGTGGTCATCAGTGACACATCATCATGAGATAGGGGTAATAGGAAGGTGGCCTCAGCAAGGTCAAACAGAAACAGTGGCTCAACACCATGTACCATGAAGTATGGGGACAGACCTGTGGACTTTAGGATTGTGACCTACTTGGCCCAAAAGACAGAGTGAGTGACAGTGTGCCAGCAATGGTTGTCATTCTCACAGCTCTCCATGATAGCCTCATGTACATCATAGTGGTGGTGCTCTACAACACCATTAGCCTGAGAGTTGTAGGGGGAAATATGGATGTGACAGATATGGAATTGCATGGCTATGGTATCTAAGGCTTGCACAAATGTGGGCCCATTGTCAGTGACAATCTCAGCAAGCAGTCCCCAGTGGCAAAGGATCTCCTTGAAGATGAAGGATGCAAGCATGGTACTATTTCCCACGTGTAGCAGTGCCATTCAGGGTATGGGGTCAACATGCATTGAGCCTGTACTATGTACTGGTGGCCACTGGCTTTGGGCATTAGCATCATGTCAATGTGAGCTTTATGAAAGAAGCCCCCTATCATGGGTACAGTGGGAGGTATATGCAGTTTCTGTGTCTGGTAGATCTGGCATTCATGACATGTATGAATGTACCATTTCACATTCTCAATGAGCATGGGCCACCAGAAGCAAAGGAAACAGCTTTCATCCAATCTCTGAGCAACATAATCACCCTGCCCCCTGCTAATGATGTCATGATTTCCATTTTCCCTGTTCATGAAGGACAGAGGGACACTTTATGGGCCAAACTTATTGTAACCCCTGTGGCACTCCTACTTGGCTTGGGCCTCAATAGTTTTCCCTCTGTTAGGAGTGTACACCCAATGCAAGGAAAAAGAGAAGAATGAGTATATTGGAGGGGAGTTGCAAAGTAGCAAAAAAAATAAAGTACAGAGTGTCATACCTCTAACCATATACCTACCTGAGGAGGGCATACAATAACCCTGTAAATAGCTAGTTGCTGTGGACAGTAAGCAATAAAACAGAAATGAGTCAGTATGACTCAGTAGAAGGGGGAACAAGGCCCAAACTGGCTGCACAGTTGCTATGCACGGTGAGGGGGCAGAATCATGATGGATACAAAACATATCAAATATACTGTACAGGGATAAATGAGAAATGAGACAAAGGAAATGTACAGAGGATCAATCAAAATGCAGCAATGATGCTGCATAGCCTTTCTAGAGCAGCCTACCCTTCCAAGGATGCTATATGACCCAGGCCACTGCCCACACAGTGGTGACAGCAATGGCAATGATCTGGAAGCTGAGACACATGAGAATGTATGTGTCATGCAACCAGAAATGGTAAGGGGGTGGCCCAAGGTGTAACATTTACACTTCCAAGACATACTTGTCATTGATTTTCTACACTCCTATCATGAGAAGATTGAGTTCCTACACATGCATGTTCCTTCACATCATCTCAAAGACTAAACCATGTGTGCCATTAAGATTGCAATGGAAATTGTGCATCAACACTTCAGGAAAGACATCAGTTCATGAATTTCAACACAAAAAATAACATACCATCTCAAACCATGTGCCACCATCATGAAATCATGCTCAGCATGAAGATTTAGGGGATAGTTGTCACTATCCACCAAAACAAAGAGGTATGTCACTTGGCTTTGGTCCCTCCATTGCAACTCCTGCTCCAAAAATGCCACCAAACAATGGTTATTGACTGTCACCATGGTAGAGCAGATGTTGAAAACATTTGTAAGCAAGTCTCCCATGCTGCAAGGAATGATGGATCCCAAGTTGTTCTGCTGAATGGTGATGACATGCAGTCTGGTACCCTCAGAACTCCCAACAACAATAGCAGATACCATAAAAAATTCTGGACTGTTACAAGGTATGATTACTGTTGACACCAAAACTGTGAACCTACATAGCAGCATGAACACCTCCATATCCTCAACACCTACACCATAATATGATCACAACAACCCAAAATGACAGAATCTTTCTTTGTCAACATCAGATTCCATATTCAACTTCACAAGCTCTTACATGAAAGGACAAACTTGCATCACCATCTACATTGTTGTCACAAATGATCCATAAAGGTTTCTCCCCCAATCCATGTCCCAAGACTTCATAGAAACCACTTTGACCACATCTGAAACATCAATAACAAATGTTAGTAATGTTTCAACTCTGTTGTTAAACTAATAACAGCTCAAATACCTTCTAGTTCTTGGCTGTCCCCACTATCAATTTGCCACCTGAGACTCTTACTGCTATATGTGTCTACCTTGACATCAACTCTCTGATGTCAGTAGAAGCACCAGACATCATACCACTTGTCATTGCTCTCTTACACCTCCACCTGCACACTATCATTGTCACCCAATTTTGTTGCCCACATACATTCCTCCATACTCTAAAAGACCATCATGCTGTAATTGGAGGTTCAGTAGCACTGAGACTGTTATACACAGAGGAACCTGATTATTGGTCACCCAATGATTTGGATATCTTCATTGGTTGTGAGAATGCCACACATATCTTTAAAGTGAGACATTGTCAATGCAGGTGTCCAAATTCACTCTACTGACAATGCTGATAACCCTTCCAAAATAACCCATATTCACACCATCCAAACATTCCAAAATTCCCATGTAAATCTGTGTCTTGTCATAGCACAAACACCATCAGCCAACACTTCCATCTTCAGCACCTTCTCTACAATTACCATGAATTTCATCACCATTGATGGCTTATTCTTATTTTGTGCATACCCATCTCTAACCCTGTCTTGATCTGCTATTCATCAGCAAAGCCAAAATTTGCTGTGCAGTACTGTACAGCCACCTACAGGTGCCACAGTGTGACAGCAAGGTCCCCCCTCTGTCTAGTGCCCAAAGCACATTAAGATACCATGTTTCTGAGCACAAATTTATTATTGTTGGAATCTACTCATTCTAATCAAATGGTTTCTGTCATTGGTATTGGAATACAAGTGTTATTTAGAACTGAATCTCATGTGTAAGATCACATTGTGACACTGTGGTGCTGTGGCTGTTGCCATGCCGTGGGAAAAACACAGGCAATCCTCAATACTGCATAAACACTACAGAAACCCCAAAAAATGTTCAGTGCCACTTACACAAGTACCACAAATGTGGCATCTCCTTTGTTTCTTGTGAATCATTACATGTGCTGCAGGGACCTGTACCAAAGACCTCCATCACCTACATGATGACCATGTCATGTGGGTCCCCTTTGATCAAGTACAACCCTCCATATGACCCAAGCACAAAGAACAAGAAGCAATCAAAACAATATGATGGAAACTAGGCAGACCACAGTGCAATTCCAACTCTCACATTGTTGTCCCATATGTCTGAGAATCATCACTTGCTTCTTCACCATTATAGCACTGTTCATGGTTGTAGAATCTCTTATATAGCTACACATCCATTTGTTATGCATCATGTATATGCAGATTTCAAAACACAAAACAAACCAGCAAACAGCAAACTTCAGCTGGATATCCTCATGCACCAACTATGTTTACATAAACTGTGTCCTGGGTTGCCCAAAGGGCTGGTGTATGTAATTATGTAAGTAAAGCCCAACAATTGTAGACCTTGCATTGACCTCCATGATCTTATGTTTCCCCAATCAAAGCCACAACCTTGCCTGTGCTTATATAAATAATGCTTCTCATGTCCAGTTCCTCCAACCCACATCCTTGGACTGGGGCTGTGAGGATGGCATGACTTGAGTCATTGCAATGCAAGTAATACCACAAAGTAGAGTAATGAGCACACTGATGAAATCAAGCAAAAAAAAAAAGCAGCTGCAGGCAGTTAGGCACAGCAAGGGTGGAAGGACTCCAGAGTTCACCTGCATCATTGGACTCTTGCTAATTGCTATAGCTATTTAATATTCCTGTCTGTTTTAACCACTCAGCCATGGCTCTTCCTGCACTTCACAGTATACTTACAGGTCATCCATGCATCTCATCTGCCTGCAAAACACTGATACTCATCCCTGTCAGTTACAATAAGCTGAGATCATCACTGACATATTTGTTGTGTAGCAGCCACAAGAATGCATAGTTGTCTTGGCCTACCATCATCCTGTGTTCCTGGACACTGTTAGGCCCAGGTCTGTAAACTCTTTGTGACTGCTGATCATACCAGACCAGAGGCCCTGGTGTGAGTCAAAGTGTGGAAAGCTGGTGAAAACCAACCAAAACCAACACCAAAGACAAGTAATGTGCAAGTGGTGGTGTACCTCTGCAGAACCTGAAGGCAGAAAGAATCTAAAGTGGGGGGGATTTCAAGGGCAGGTGCTCCTAGCACAAGTCAATGGCAAGTTATGCAGGAGTAGAAAACCAAGTGATGACTGGATGGGGGATGCTGAACAGAGTGAAGGTGTTCAGCTGAAAGTATTCTGGAGTAATGGACTTCAATAAAATGTGCTCCTGGTGCAAGTCAATGACAAGTCATGCAGGAGTGGGAGGATGACTAAGCAAGACTGCTGACTAAGTGGGGACAAAGCTTCAGATAAAGAATGGAGGCAGATAGACCCCTTCATGGAGCCTCAACTACCAAGTATGAATGAAAACAGATAGACTCTTCCAAATGAGCCTCAACTGTCAATGACAAGTTATGCTGAGCTGAACTGAACTGACTGCTGAGTGACTTCTGGATTCACTTGTGGATTGCTTGGGTTGTAGCTAAGTACATGGGGGTTTATATACTGTGGGGGGAGTGCAGCCTATGACAAATGAGGCACAAACACTTGATAAGTAATGAGTAAGGACTGAGTAATCATGATGAGTAAGTGAGAAATGAAAAGTAAGCAAGCAAGGAAGATTGGTAAGTATTGGCAATAAATGAGTCAAGGACAGTCAAAATATCACAGAATGAGTCAAATAATGTCAGAATCTGAGTAAGCACTGTCACACACCAAAGGTGTTTGGTGAGGTGGACATGGATGCAGCTGATGAATGGAGATGAAGACCATAGCCCTCATGTGAAGAAGGACAGCCATAAATGTCAGCAGTCATCCCTTGCACAAGAACAAGTTGTCAATGCCAAAGAAAAAGGAAGGAAGCAAGTTAAGCACCAGTAAAAATTCTTAAGCACCCATGTACAGCATTCTGGTTTTCAACATATCTCCACCAATTCTGCAGATACCAACACCATTCCCACACTCACTTGTAGTGCTCAGCCACATGATCCTACCTTCCAAAATTGGAAAGGATTCATGCACTCCACATGTTTCTACAGCACTCCCTCCAAAAGATGCTCATTTCACTAATTCTCCTGATATGGCTGCCTCCATGTCAATCATTTCGCTTTTCCCCTTTGCTAGGGACCATGGCTACATATATCTACCAGGAGTTCCTACCAGCTTCTGTCCTGAAGCATCCTGGTACATCCTACCCTCATCTGCACCCTCTCAGCCCATCCAGCTTGGACAGCATATTCTTTTTGTCAGTATGACCTCTAGGAGGATGTTCTTTGGTCACCTCAGGTCTGTCATTCACTTGGAAAGGTCTTATGTGGTCGTTTCAGTCTCCCCAGTCCAAGAAGCATATGGATCCTTCCTCCCTGCTCCCTGCAATGTCTTCATACTGGTCTCATCCATCATTCTTCCAAGACTGCAACAGCTACAGTATAATCTACTGTTCTCCACTCTCCCTGATCACATCCATGATGAGTATGATGCACATCTTGCCTCCTTGTTGAAAGATACAGCAGAAGACACCCCCCCTTCATCCTCTCTTCCAACAGAGCCTCATACATGAAGTTTTTATTTGCTTCACTGAGAGGACAGTCAAGGGGGGAAAGTTGTGATCCCCTATGCTCCTGTCACCCCACAGACCCCCAAAGCTTGACCCCTGTTGACATCTGACTCACCCTGTCCACCTTTGAATGTACTATATTGGCATCAGATCAGCACTGCCTCTCTGTCATCCCACTTTGACCCAGAAGCAATTTCTTTGAGATGTGACATGCACAGCCTCCCCCTAATGTGATTCCAGTGTGCTTTCCCAGTTCCTGACATTACTTGACTCATACTTTGACATTCTGACTGTCTTTGACTCACCTATTGCCAATACTTACCAATCTTTTGACCTTGCTTACTGATTCTTTGCTTTTTGGCTTACTTATCCTTACCAATGCTCACCAATGCTTTCTAAGATGATTACCCATTTCTTACATTCCTTACTTATCACTTACCAATCACTTACCAAGTGTTTGCACCTTGTTTTCCATAGGCAATGCCCCTGTATTGTATATAAATCACTGTACTTAGATAGCTGAATAAGAAGAAGATGTCAGAGAGCCCCTCTTGCTCACATTTCATCATCACTCAGTAATTCATTCAGCAACTTTGATAGTTGAGACTTTATTAAGGGTCTAGCTATCATCTACTTCACTCATCATCATCTATCATCAATATACTTTGCTCCAAGTCCTCCCTGAGCTCAGTGCAGCTCAGAGCATCAAATTAAGTCATCATCCATCCTTCTGTAGGCTGACAACAGTCTACCCTATCACTTCCTCTTGCCTTCCAGCTCCTTCTTCATCAGGAGCACCCACAACCCTCAGCACTCATCTTTGAGTGTGGCAGCTCACAAAAACCCTCCCAAATCAAAGGTTCTACCATCTAGGTACTGCATAGGCACACCACCACTCACTCTTATTGTCTTTTGTGTTGGTTTTGGTTGGTTTTCACCACTGAACCACACTTTGACTCAAAGCACACTGATATCACATTATGGGATGGGAATGCAAGTCAGATCTCAGCAGAGACATCTCTAGATCCAAAGATGGCATGACAGATGGACAGTGTTTCCAGATTGGGAAGTATTAATTCCAGAATTGAAGGGCATGAGTCAAGCATCAAAGGGCTAGGGCATTGGGGGTCTGTGGGGCAATGGGAGCATATGCAATCACATCTCCCACCTGTTCATCCTCTCAGTGAAGTTAACAAAAGTTTCATGAATGGGGCTCTGATGGAGGAGGAGAAGGGGGGATGTCTTCTGCTGGATCTTGCAGTAAGAAGGCAAGATGCATGTCATACTCATCATGGATGTGATCAGGGAGGCTGGAGAACAGTAGATTATGCTGCAGCTGTCACAATGTGTGGAGAATGGTGGACAAGATTGGAATAAAGACAGTGCAGGGAGCAGGGAGGAATGATCCATATGTTTCATCAAGTGGGGAGACCAAAACAACTACATAAGACCTTTCTAACCAAGTGACAGACCTGAGGTGACCAAAGAATGTCCTTCTGGAAGTCATACTGACAAGGAGAACACACTGACCAAGCTGCATGGGATGAGATGGGGCTGACAATGACAGGATGAACCAGGGGGTTTCAGGACAGAAGCTGGTGGGAACACCTGGCAGATATATGTAGCCACTGTCTCTGGCAAATGAGACAAGTGAGATGATCAACAAAGAGGCAGCCATTTCTGATGGACTTAGTGAAATGAGTGTCCAATGGATGGAGTGCTGTAGAAATGCATAGGGTGCAAGGATCCTCTCCAAATTTGGAAGGCAGAATCATGTGGCTGAGCACTTTAAGCAAGTGTGAGAATGGAGTCAATATCTTTGGAAATGGTGGAGATACAACAAAAACTGGAATGCCATACACAGGTACTAAAATATTTTAATGTGTGCTCAACTTGCTTCCTCTTTTCTCTTTAGCACTGACAACTCATTCTTGTGCAAAGGATGACTGCTCACATCCAGTGGTCTTTCTATGCATGAGGCCTTTAGTCTTCATCTGCATGGTATGGGCATTGTGCACAACTCATCAATGAGTTGGGCAGAGTCAGCTGTAACCATGTCCACAACACCTTTGGTGTGTGACACCAGTCATGTGCATAGGCCTCCTTTGGGTTTGGCTCTCAGTAGGTTGAGGTTTTCCACTCCTTACACTCTGCATCATCATGCAGACCACCTGGAAGCACATAGTTGGGTGTGTGCTTGAAAATTGTGCACAGTGGCCTGCACCACTTGTATGTTGACAATGTAGGTGCCAGTGACAATGGTGCAATTGGCTATGAGTTTTTACACTGAGAGTATGCATTTGGGACATCACAATGTGGTACTGAATAATGATCTGTGGCATGCAATGTGCATTGATGTTCTCCAGGTTCATGAGTGTTCTGTTACATGTTGTAGTAGGGAGGCCTGGGAGCTGGAGGTGAGGACACAGCCACATTAGGCTTAGTCAGACAGAGGTAGACATGGACATGGACATGTTCAGTAGATACATCATCCTACAGCTTGCCTCAAGCTCAGCTCATTGCTTGTGAGGCTCTCTCCCACTGCTCCAATGTCCCTCACTATTATTCCTGGATGCCATCAGGCCAGGTCTGCAAACTCTTTGTCCTCAATGATCATACCAGACCATTAAGTCTGATCACATGTGATTTCCTTTCAGGGAGGGGACTGGTTGCATTGTGGTTCCTGCATTTTGTTGTACATGTCATGTCAGATAACATCATGCAGATGACCATGGACAGTGGCATGCACTGCTTGTGTATTGACATGGCTGGTGCCAGCATTGTTGCTGCTATCAGCTACAGGAATTTACTGCCAAGTCTGTGTACCCTAGAGGATCATTGTTGGTATGTTGCACAGACTCAGTGCATGAGTTTGTGGAACAGCACCCCTTCCTGACATTGAAGGATATTAAATCTATTGCAGCATTTTACAGAGTGGTTCTGCTTCATCATCTGCACTGTCAGGGGTGTGTTGATGCCCTCCACATTCATGAGTGTTCAGCTGCTTGTCCATCATTGTATGTGTTTCAACAGCTTAAAACCACTCAGAGAGGGAGATGCCTCCTTCCTGCACATCATCAAAGATTGCTCATACATCATCCTCTAAGCATGAAAACATCCTCTCATAAATGACAGTTATATAATCTACCATCCCACATAGAGAACATAAACATGTGCCCCATAGACTTTTCCATTCAATATCATCCCCCCCACAGTACTAATCTCTTATGTACACTTGTACATGCACTCACCTGATAGACCATAAATTTGGACTTGCACTCCCTCGATAGAATCCCATAAACTTGGACTTGCACTCACTTGATAGAATCCCATAAACTTGAACTCACACTCACTTGATAGAATCACCTGTAGAGTCACTTGTAAATGTAAAGAACTACGTCACGTGCTTTCCCCAAATGCGTCCAGGAGCGCCCGGAGGACTTTGGTATATGTATTCTGATAAGAATGGCATTGTTTCCACTTGACATTCCATACTGAAAGGAGATGCATAATTTCTCTCTTTCTGCTTGACTTTCCACATCGAAAGGACATTTTCATTTCATCACTCTTTCTGCCTGACTTTTGGTACTGAAAGGACATGTATATTTTCTGTATATTTCGCGACCAGCTGCATCACGAGTCTCAGCCCCATGCGTCCAGGAGCGCCCAGAGGGCTAATATATAATACCTGTGTTCATGCATCATGGTCGACAACTCTGGTGTGTTACTATAAAGAAATTTCCTAACCCAGAACCTCAGCCTCGCGTTCCCCGGGCAAAACAAAAACTTCTCGAGAAATGGACTGGAATGGAGGCAAAACATTAAACCCAATTTTCATGGTGCCAACGATCAACTGATATCGAATCTAAGCGATGGTTGAATGCGGCACCCGCAATTGGCACCCGCGGCTGTTGTCAACGAGTCACGCAGACCCATCAATTGTCCGTGGAGCCATGCAATTGATTAATCGCTTGGTTTTCCCTAGAATGGCTACGTCCATGCCAAGAGCCCTCTCTGTCCCCGTCCATATCACGGACTCATAAGCACCTTTTGGACACTTCTTTTGTCCGAGCTATCGCACTAAGCAGCCTCCATGGCTATTTACTGATCTCCCGAGGAATCTTTTGTGCTACAGGCGTGTTTCAAAGCTCTTGCAAGGATGTCCAGCTCCTCACTAGCCTATTTTCGATGGCTTTACCAGCAGCAGGTTATAAAGGTACGTGGAAGCCACCCAAATCCATCGTTCGATAAACAGTGATTTGAGCCGTGCACCTGCAGTACTGTCGAGGTATGTGCTTTCTATTTTCAGGATTGGTTTTGGTGCACTTCGTACTGAAACTGACTGTCACCTTACTAGTCGCACCCATTTCAATCTGGGTATCGTATTACACACCTTCGCCTTGGGAGAGATTAGACGCGTTTACCATTACCCTAGGCTTTTGATTTTTTCCTAACACTAGACGATGAAGTGAGTCGTTCATCCTTTCCCTTCTCATCTATGTGCAGGTCTGAACCGATTATTAGATACGCTTGCTAACCCGCACGAAACGTTGGGGATTAACGCATGTCCTTTACGTCCCAACGAGATACTTCCCGATCATAGGTTCCATATGCGCCGCTTACAGTGCGTGCATCTCGCAAGCGTGCAGTTAAACACCTGAGCTCCAGATAGACGCCCTGGTGACCACTCGTCCGGAAGAAACGGTACGTACTAACATGATAACCCAGGCCCTGGACTAATCCTACCGGCGTAGTGTGTAGCTTTGTACAGGGTCGCTGAAAGTCAGGTGCTATTTGCTGCGATACCTCATCGTACTAACCACCTAATTCCAGTCATACTGTACTTTGGTATGTTAACGTCAGAAGGCACGTCGCCCAGGGTTTTTACAGAGCGCAGTTTATTGAAGAGTAAACCCTCATGCCAGGGTTACTCCTGATTCGAACGCTGGCACTCTGGCACGCTCAAAATGCAGCACGGAAACTTCTGATCGGGACATATATTGTGAGTCCTGTGCCTTCCATACTGTTTCCATTACAGAGCAAACGTGATGACAATGTGCAAAGATGGTGGCAATCATTATGTTCGTCTGTGCCGTGATATCCAGTACCCTCAAGTTCGAAGGAATTTGCGGTGAAACGGACGCCTCCGTCGCCACTGCACTGGCTACCCAGCTTAGCCACGTTACAGTCGGAATGTTCTCGAGTGCAGCCTTCTTCGAACTTGGTACGCTTCCATACGCAGTCGTCGTTGTCTATGCAAAGGCTCTCATTGATACTGGTCAGTTGTAATGCTTTACACTCTCCTCTATGCATTAGGTTGGCGCGCAAGAGCTGGCCGGTACACTGCGACTAGGCTCGTGGCTGCCTTGACACATGGAAATATGTTATACGCCCTCTCACTGTTCGGTAGGTCAATGGCGATTGTCAAGGATCAGGCATCTGAAGAAAAGTTCGTTTCAGTGGTCTCAATTGTCAATATTACATTCTTTGTTTTACCGGTGGGTGAATACTGGTTTCTGCTCCAACAAGTATCGCTTCAATTGCGCCACAGCTCTCAGATGGATGGAACGGTCTTTTCATTACGTGAGTCTTTACCAAATCCTTTGTATGCTCAGAACACCTCCATTGACCTGCCTCAATCGGACGTGATCGCAAACAGCTTTCAGGGTATTCTTCACGGAGTGATGGCGTCCCGAATCCTTTTCGAGTTGCAAGGCGCACTTTCCGAGGGAATCAATCTTCAAATCATCACTGGTCCAGGGTCAAGGATGGAATTTTCATCGGTGCCATTGAGCGATTTTCGCACGGATGAGTTTTGAATCCATTGCACGTATGCGCCACATATGGATTCGGGTCCGCTCCTTTATTTGATGAAACCAGAAATCTACTTATACATTACCTCCCCCACCGCAAGTCAGTTGTCTTCGTATGATTCTAGATGCATATACCCTCGCACTCGGATATGAAGTCATGCGATGTATAATTCGATCATTAGACTCGCCATATATGATACATGTCGGACATGTGTAAGTCGGGGGCTGTCTCGATGTCATCTAGAGAACGTGATGAAATTGACTGTTGTGGTACGTTGAGTGGTTGATCTATCTCAAGTTGATCCTAGTATAAGGAGCAAGGAAGTTCTGATCCAACAGGGCTCTTGTGATAGGAGGGACGGGGATATGCCAAGTTTGCTCTAAACACAGTGGTGTCTTGGGTTCCACATGCCCAATCTACATTAGTCTGCAGGTGCCAACATACTAGGTATTCATCCCAATTACTCAAAGCACGATCTCATCAACATAAGGGAGGGTCGCAATATCTCCAATGGCAACGTAAGTAGGAGTAACCTTGAGGAGCTCCGAAACGGTCTGGGTAGCGATGGTATCATGAGAGTGCAACCCATTGGTGCATATTTTTACTCACTTTCGATAGTGTAGCAGCATCCACCTTGTCCAAGGCGGCCAGCGTGCTCTCGACCGATGCATCTGCATTGAAGAAGACCTAGATATAGTAGAAAAATGAATCATGTATGCGCATTTCATAGCTAATTGTCCCACCTTCTTTCCGAGGGCTAGGGTCAGACCCTCTCTGGTCTCGGCAGCTGTGGCAGCATCAAACTTGGTGCGTGCAACAGCACTCTTGAGCTCTTCTGCTGTGAGAGGCTTCTTCAGCTTCTCGAAAAGAGTCTTGGCGGCCTCTTTAACGCTCTTCACGTCGGGTGCCTGAACAAGGACGCCGGCTAATGCAGCATCAGAGTAAGGGAGGTATACCGGTGTGAGCTTAGTAGACGAGCGGGGCACAGAAGGCCACTTGAGCGCAGATGGCGGTGCGAGGTGAGTTGCCAAGACCGAAAGTGCGGCCGAAGGTGCTGTCGTGCCGAAACCGACGAATACCGTCTGACCACCCATGGGAAGGTTAATGCGTGCGTAACCACCAAAGTATTTCGAAGAAGACGAAGAGGGCATAGAGGAACCACTCGGGAGGGGAGTCTCCGCAAGCGCCTTGTCTACGAGGTCTGCGAGGCGGGCAGAGTCGATACCAGTCCCGACAACGGCAACGTTGCCCGAGGCAAAAGCAGACGTAGCAAATTCTTTCACCGAGCCAAGGGATACGTGAGAGTGAGCGTCTGCCAGCAAAGGCGCACCGAGGCCGGTGCGGAACGCAACGCTGTGAGCGGCTTCGATGGCGAGAGTGCTGGGTACCTGAGAAGCGTGTGTCGACTCGTCACGGACGACTGGAAGGACGTATTCAGAGTACTCGTGTGGAAGAAACTTGGTTGTTGCGAGGATTGAGGCGAGGAGTGAGGTGAAAAATGGTCTAGGCATCGTCAGTGGAGACAGTGAGGGAGGGATGGGTCAAACGCACTCGTCGCCACGGAGGAACTCGGTTGTAAGAGCGAAATATTCGCGTGACAAACTAGCAGAGAGCACACCACCGTAGAGTTCGCTCTCCCTTACAGTTCCGAGCGTCGACCGCTTGGCAGTACTCTAGACGCGGGGAGAAAGAGTAAAATCACACACGCCAGACCGGCCTAAACGCAACACACACCTTGAACGCAAAGTTTTTCAAGACGTGCGCAACTCCAGCGCTGGGTTGGTATCGACTTCCCGCCTTGACGAGGACGGTGACGGCGGTCGTTGGCTGACCATAGTCGACTGCAGCCACCTTGACGCCAGAAGCTTTTGTGTCGACCACAGTGGCAAACGAGCGTGCTAGACGCTTCGCGGTCGACGCCCGTGTTGCTAGCATGGCTCACGTTTTCTAAGGTCAGTCGAAGTAATCACTCAAAGTTTTAGAGAGGATCAATAACCGACAGGCCCGGGTTCCCCCGGTATACCCAAATGAGGAATGCAGTTCCCGCGCCTCCAACTGGTCACCCAGATACACCGACTTCTTCACAATCAAGCTTCTGGACATGTAATTTAAAGAATTTTGCCATCTGTTCCAAACATAAAGTCATGCGAAATAAACAATGCTATTTCAGAATATGATATTCTGCAGTCAAAGTATTGAAATTTCCGATGTGTTAGACGCAGTTACAACCCATCTCATGTCTGTGGATACCTGAGGAAATGCCAAGTGCAACAAGGATAATGATGAAAGTTGAGGCGATTCTCTGACAAGTAAACAATGTCTTCGAAAATTCTATATGTCGAAGCGAGTAAAGCATGAGGTGAACGGCCATGAGTGCTCGAGGGCAAAAAGAACGACATAGACCAGCTGGACGAGAAGGTAGAACACAAGCGACACCTATGAGGGAAGCGAAGTCGTATGAGAGCGGAAAGGTCGCATAGGATGGTGGGTGGGGGTGCAGGAGAGCGCAGGAGAACCCGGGCCCCCGTCCTCAATCCAGCCTCTCTCACAAAACTATTGTAACAGTACTCACCGGACAGGGGCAGGGAGACATACAGAGCCTTAGTCATCGATTACATAATGAGTAGCACTCCTTACCGGGATATTCCGAGTTTGCTCTTTGGCCGAAAAGACTGAAACCGTTGACATTTGACAAAGCGACGAGCCCGAGGAGCATGCTGAGGGCATCAAAACAAGCCGCTCTCATTCAGCAGAGCGCCACTGCGCTAGGCAAGCGCAGCTTTGCAACAGTTGCAGACCCGCCTGTCCGTCACTATGGTGGGCTCAAAGACCAGGATCGCATCTTCACCAATGCTTATTGCAGACATGATCACGGTCTTAAGGGTGCCATGGTATGCTGGTGTTGTCATATACAAAATGCTTTGGATAACCCATGTATTTCAGGCTCGTGGAGACTGGCACCGTACCAAAGACATCATGCTGAAGGGTGACTCGTGGATTATCCAAACCATCAAAGATTCCGGTCTCCGAGGTCGCGGTGGCGCCGGCTTTCCGAGTGGTCTTAAATGGTCATTTATGAACAAGCCAGGTTGGGAGAAAGACAAGCGGTGTGTTGTTTGGACCTTATATCCATGTTCTCAGGTGTTGAACGGACTGCCATTGCAGACCTCGTTACCTTGTGGTCAACGCTGACGAGGGTGAACCCGGGACCTGCAAAGATCGTGAAATTCTCAGAGGTGATCCGCACAAACTGGTCGAGGGATGTCTCGTCGCCGGACGCGCAATGAACGCGACGGCCGCTTATATCTACATCCGCGGAGAGTTTGTGCAGGAAGCTGAACACCTTCAACAAGCCATCACCGAAGCATATCGCGCTGGTTTGATTGGCAAGAATGCTTGTGGCTCTGGTTACTCGTTCGATGTTTACGTTCATCGTGGTGCTGGCGCTTACATTTGCGGCGAAGAAACTGCGTTGATCGAGTCTTTGGAAGGAAAGCAGGGCAAGCCTCGGTTGAAGCCTCCCTTCCCAGCTGATGTCGGTCTATTTGGATGTCCAACAACCGTCGCCAATGTCGAGACGGTGGCTGTCGCCCCTACGATATGTCGTCGTGGTGCTCCATGGTTCGCTGGTTTCGGCAGAAAACGTAACGAGGGGACGAAACTCTTCTGCATCAGTGGTCATGTCAACAACCCGTGTGTCGTCGAGGAAGAAATGAGCATTCCATTGCGGGAGTTGATCGAGCGGCATTGCGGTGGTGTCCGAGGCGGGTGGGACAACCTACTTGGAATAGTCCCTGGCGGTAGCTCTGTACCGGTGTTACCGAAGGATATGTGTGCCGAGGTTCTTATGGACTACGACTCGCTGAAGGATGCTCAGTCCGGTCTGGGTACTGGCGCCGTCATTGTCATGGACAAGTCGACTGACATCGTCGCTGCCATTGCACGCTTCTCCTCCGTACGCTTTGTATTCATTTTCACTGTCCCATTTCTGAATTTGGCCTTTTCACGCAGTTCTACAAGCATGAGTCATGTGGCCAGTGTACGCCGTGTCGTGAAGGTACGACCTGGATGATGAACATGATGAACCGAATGGTGGAAGGACGTGCACACCGACGAGAAATTGACATGCTGTTGGAACTCACGTACGTTTGTTGATTTTCCCGTTTGTGCCGTTCCCATAACGATGTCAATCCAATCCAGCAAACAAGTCGAAGGAAGGACGATTTGCGCTCTCGGAGATGCCGCAGCATGGCCCATTCAAGGTCTCATGCGCCACTTCCGTCCTGAGGTCGAGAAACGCATCGACTCTTTCCGTGCAGAGCATGGTGGTGTACTGTTCGGTGGTCGTTTGAAGAGCGAGATTGATCCGACGTTGGCTACGCCAGATAATCTGGGCGCGAATTTGATAGAACCAGGTGATAGAGTGTAGACTACAAGTCTCGTGGCTGCGACACCGCTTGCAACTATATCCTTCTGAGGTCGGAATATACACAGGCTTTACCCCTCATAGCTGGTGGTGTTTCCCCACTAGTGTTCACTGCGGATATGGCTAACGCCAGAGAAACTTACGATGACGCTAGTAGTAACCAATTCGTCGAATCAGGTGCCGCAAGCTATGCATCCATTGGAATCTGCTGTCATCCCTCGAGTAAGTTCATCCGACCGGACAACATGCTTCTATCCCGCGCAAGTCGGAAGAATGGAAGAACCCCCGTTCAACTTAATCCACAGGTCTTGAAGTCGGCAAATATTAGAGACTACCCCTAGCCACACTCGGTCACGTAGTTGGAACGAAATTCCTTAGCTGTGCGGAACCAGAGTAACGGTACAGAAGACTCACGCGTCATCTTTTGAGTTGCTATCGACGTGACGTACCTTCCTTCGAAAACGACTCGATATCAGCCAGTCGTCGACCTTATCCCATCAGAGAGACCATCTATATAGTCTTGGGTTGGTTTCCTCCGATATTACACTCATGCATGATACATCAAGACCGGGCCATCTGAGACGAGGAACAAGTTGTTAATGGAGTTGCGACAAGTACTCTGTGCCACTGACAGAAAGATGCTTTGGCTTTTCGAAGGATATTGGGTGAGCGTGTGAGATGTTCAAGGGTATGACTGCTGGGAGAATGATGGGCTAAGATCTGAAGCGTCGCAACTTCTTAAGAACTCCTCTCACTATTGCGAGAAACCACCCATAAAAAGTACAGTCATCAGTGAAATACATCTCGGCTGGCATGTACTGATAGTTCGCAGCCTTCGAAGTACAAATGTATGTATGCTAGGATCCAACCATGTGTATCGCATCAGGGCTAACTAAAGAATCAAAGCCTCATTATGCCGTTGAACCTGTCCTCATCTGACTCAAAAACATTGTAACGAGTTGATGCCAGCTGCCACTCAATAACACCGACAAAGAGGTCGACCATGGCATCAGCGTAAGCTTGTAATTGGGGATCGTCTCTAGCCAGTTTACTCCTGTATTCCGTGAAACGGTCTAAAGTCTGGTTGAAGAGATTGGCTGCGTAATCTATGGCATGCTGAAGATCCAAGCATGCCGTGCTAGGGTCTTGCATGAGGATGGTTAGAAGGTTGTGAACTACACCCTCGCCCTTGAGTTCTTTCTTGTACGACAGAATGTCCTGCAAGTATTGGGATGAGAATAGCAAACAAATGGTTGAGAGCATTGATATACGTTAGAGATTATGAAGATATCGATTACTGCGAGCTCGAGAGCTTTCACGGTAGTATCATCCAGAAGTTCTGGTGAGATCTTAAGCCCATTGATTGCTCGGGCATATACCAGAAATACAGGGGCAGCAACGGACTTCCTGCGCGTCGGGATGTACGTGTTGAACGTGAGCTTGACATTATCCACCTCTGTGGTTTGCCTGTCGAGCGCCTCCTGTGCAGTTGCTCTCGCAAAGGCGGTATTTGCTTGGCGACAATCAACTCTATGAGCCTCGCTAATGACAGCAGTCGTTCGAGATGCAAGACTACATGCAGCCAGACAACTAAGAATGACGCATCCCGAACGGGAGAAAGGACTGACCTACTGATCAACTTGACAAATTTGTGGGGTGATGCGAGACCCGCAGATGGGTCATCAAATGCGGAGAGAAACAGTGTCGCATTTTTCTCTGCTTCCTCAGTGGATGCCATATCGCTGGAGTCAATGTGAACGTCACAGTGACGGAAGAGCACAGAAGGTGGACCTGCTTTGCGTGATCCAAGAAAATGAGAGCATTCATATGCGCAACGACGGCGTGTAGGGCCTCGGAGTCTGCCGTGGGATAACAGCAAGAGGCAAACAGAGGGATCTGTCCACTTTTACACCCCTAGTTATCGCATTAGTTGGGAGGGGGCCACGATTAATGGTCAGCGTAGATGATCATCGATGTAAGCACCATCCATAACCATCAACTTCGATGTAGAAGATGGCCATAGTAAGAGCAACTCACAGCACATTCCCTCTCCCCGAACAAAGGGACTGAATCAACCCACTGGCTATGTTCTTCCTCTAACGTTACCAGGTTGTCATTGATGGGGTGCGTTTTTCTCGGACATCGTGCCACCAAGTCTGGTATGCGATAGGTTCTTGACATAACGAATAGCTCAGAACCCGTGCACGTGCACTGGACTGCTATATCTGCAATCTGCAATGTTAGACTTCTGTTTTCCCGGTCAATGCCTCAAGCTCGCCTGCGTTTATGTAAATAATGCTTCTTATGTCCAGTGGTTCCAACTTCACATCCTTGGACTGGGGCTATGAAGACGGCATAACTCGAGTCGGTGCGAGGCAAGTACTACTACGAAGTAAAGTAACGAGTGCGACTGACTGAAATCAAGCCAAAATAAAATTGCAGTCGCAGCTGACAAGCAATGAGGCACAGCAAGGGTGGAGGGACTCTGGGGTTCAACTGTGTCCGACATTGGACTGTCACTAACGATTGCTATTCTTACCCAAAAAACACATCGGGCATATGTATCGTGCAATACAGTGATATGAGGTTTAGCCTTAAGTCAACGAGAAATATGTGCAGATACACCTTATGTGCAACAAGATACGTTGCAATATCAATGATCTCAGAAATTATCCAGGCGCACCCTGGTATCACAACATGAACTTCCGTCTTCTTATTGTCCTCCCGATAAACATAGCCCACTTGCATGTGCTGCCTCGCCCACTGTGTCAGCCTGCTGGGGTTCGATTGGGTAAAATGCAAGGGCGGGGTTAGTCTCGCTTTCGCCTGTGATGCAGACGTGGATTCTAGCCGTTGTCATGTTTACAACAGTTGCACCTGACAGTGGCATTGTCCCACTTTGAGCGATCAGTACGCATCCTGTTCCTTTGTGAAGACCTTACTTCGTTACTACTAGAAGTAGGGTGATGGTGATTAGCAAAGGAGTTGGTGCGGCGGGTTCAGCTCCGTAGATCAGATGGAAACATGTTTCGTCGCAAGAGAAAGTTCATCAGTCATACAGGAAGCTCACTAGGAATAATTGAGAGAGGATCCTGGAGGTCGACGAGCGTGTCACTCTGTGGTTTTCCTGCCAGTCTTTTACTGCGGTTGGCCTAGCTCACGGTGCAGCAATCGTGTGGCGTACCTCATATCGAAGCTGTATTGACCCAAGTGGGTCAACGAAGCCAGAACCCTCATGTTAGTAAGTAAGTTCCATGTACCCTATTTCACATGAAGGTTAAAAACGTGATTGATCGTAGAAACGGGATTGGACGGATAACAGCCAATTGTTTCCATACCATACTTCAAGCAGAAATCGATAGGAGTCATATATTCCTGAAGCGTCTGAGAAGTAAATTGATACCTACCTGATGGCGTTGCCTTGCGGTAAAAAATCACACTTGGAGGGGTTTCCGAGCCACAACATGGGTTTCCTTGGAAGTTCATGATTGGCTACGCATTTGCTCCACGTCTTGTTGAGAACATTGTTCGAAAGAGACCCGCATGTCGCCACCTAAGTAGCACTGTTTCAAGTAGTGTGAGTCGCAGGGGAATATATAGATTCATCATTTTCAGGAGGTTCTGAGGAATTGTTGCTTACTTGAAAACTCGGAGCCGTTTTACATAACTAGGCAAGCTAGTATGCTCTAACACTGCAACAAATACGTTGCAACGCTGGCGACCTAAGAAATTACCCACGTGTACCCTGGTATCACAACATTAACCTCAGTCTTTTTATTATCCTCCCGATAAGCATAGCCGACTTGCATGTGCTGCCTCGCCCAGGTGTCAGCCTGCTGGGGTCCGATCGGATAAAATGCAAGGCCCGGGCTACTCTCGCCTTCGCCCGAGATGCGAACGTGGATTCTAGCCGTCGTCGTGTTTACAACAGTTACACCTGACAACGGCATTGTCCTACTTCGGGTTATTGGTATAGGTCATGTCTTTCCGTGAAAGCTTACTTTGTTGCTTAGGAGGAGAACAATACGCAAAGAAGTCGGTGGTAGAAGTGGGTTCAGTGCTGTCGATCAGATGGAAAGGTCGCTGCCGTTACAAGGGCATATTCATCAATCGTCCGGGAAGCTCACCAGGAGTAACTGTGAGAGTTTTTGGATGTGAATGAGGGTTCCATTCTGCAGCTTTTATATCTGTCTGTTATCGCGACCGATCAGCTCACACTACGGCATTCGGGTCGACATGAAAGACCGGATGGATCGGCGAACCCAAAGCCCTCATATAAATAGGTATCCTGTGCCCCGTTTCATCGTGCAGTTTGGAAACGTGTCTGATAGTCAGATGTTCCTAAATGTCAGTATAGCGTATAAATTGAAAGGTTCGTAACCTTTGATTAGAAGTGTGGTGATGTCGACAAGGACGGAGGAAAATCTGTGAATGTATAATCAGCTGGCATGGGGTAATACTGGCGGCAATGGATCCTCGAGTGACATCCATTCTGTCGAGAGTTTGTACTGGAAATGCAATGCTACCTCGCTTGCGATGACAAGGATTATCTTGATATTCTGCAAACAAATCATTCCTGTCGGATGCATATTACACGCTAGTCTCGCCGCCGATAAGAAAACCTGCAACATCTTCCTCTCGTTCTCTTTTCATGTTCTGGGCCAGTCCTATTCCATTTTAACTCGCAGAAGTGCATTGCGATGCACTCTGTACGCGTATGCCTCTGTTTCAAGCAAAATAAAGTAGTAGAACCAGCAAAGAACCGGCGTAAAAACATCTTGATAACTAAGCAACGAACGACAAACCCAACATTGAATTGAAATTGGCAGAACTGGCCAGGATTGCCAAGCCATAGAGGAGAATGTGTGGGTATACCGAAGAAGAGGGAGATCTTGAATCATGATATGGATACCCGAGAGATAGATGAACAAAGTAATCCTTTCTGGACCTGCGAGAGGCAGGATGATCTAGAATGAAGGGATGTAACGTGGACCCACGGACAACCGGGTGACCTTGTGGCCGCCCAAGGAGGTGGCACAAGGAGAGCCATGGATCAATATGGTCTTGATCCACCATTTCCGCCGTAGCTGATTCCCCTCATCGTCATCTGTGGGGCGTGTCCATTGGGGACTGGGGCAAGAGTACTGACAGGCTCAACTGTGGACATTCCGGCGTATGATGTAGTTGCGCGCCGGAATTGGGGTGGCGGTGATGGAGCATTAGACCGCCACCTACTCTCCCAAGCTCGGAGGGCGGCGACGAATCCGGGATTTGGATTGATACATGGTCGTCGTCGTTTAACTAGAGCATGTGCCTGATCGTATGACATTCCGAGGTTGTGGATGAGGTAAGCAATGACGATTGCTGGTGAGCGTGAGATACCCTGGTCATGTCATCGGCGTCACGTCAGTTATGCAGCCTGCGCTGGTTTTAGTAAACAAAGAGGTTAATACCTGCTGGCAATGCACGAGCACGTTTCCACCTGCGTGGAGGGCGTTGGCAATGTATGCACATGCACCCTCAAGGTGAGGACGCAAGTCTGCTGACGGTTTGTCGACGATGTCGATCTTGAGACACCGGAAGCCGTCTTTTTCGGAGATGGGCAGCCAGGGAACATCGAGAACCTGGACGACGTGTGTGATATGGTTGGTCGCGAGTAGTTCACGGTCCATCGTGGCAGAGATGGAACCAAGGAAGAGTGAGCCGGGCGCGACGGTGGATGCCGCTGGCTTGACGGAAGGAATAGTGGGAGATGTTGGGGTGGGGTAATGGACTGGGAGGACCAGGTGCATTGGCGTGCACATCGCCTCCATTACTTCCGGCGCCATACCCTCGAAGCGTATCATTCTTATGACTGGAATGGTAGGAGTGTATAATGATGCCAGCGAGTGATGACGGATCGGATGGATCGAGGTCAATGTTTCAATGCCCAAAATCCATCCGGCTTTAAATATGACCAACAAAGCGGGCTCGTTATTAGGGGGGAATGCGCTGGGAGCGTCCTTGCGGTGGAATAAGATCAGAAATGTGGAGTACCCCCTTGCCTATTTCGGTGGATGCACCTATGTTTTCGACAGCAGGCACCCTGGCAGCCAGGCCTGGCCAGCAGATCCATCGAACTTACCTGTGTCCACAAAAATGGATCATGATAGGTTCCGTTAGTGAGTGCCTTAGGCTGAACCTCCGCGATCATTCTTTCTGGTCACAGTATTTCCAACAAAACGGACCACGGATTCCATTTTCCTCGGCTTGTGGAACACCCCTTCCACATCCAGCCTGCGCTGTTTCCCCTTGTACGTAGGAGAACTTACACGGGTCCCATTGCAGAACAAAGGACTGATGGCGAGTGCCGGTTTGTCACGCTTCCTCTTCAGGGATTGACAATTATCGCCAGGCTTTCGCCGAGCTTTAGCGACCACGAGAGAGGTCGCAGCCAAAGCAAACCGCCAACAAAAGCTACGGCCGATCTGACGGTGAATCGGAGAATCGCGGACGATCATCTTCAGGTGTGACCATTCAAGGCGATGACGCTTCCTAATGGGCGCCCATTTACACTGCTACCAAGCTATTATGTCCATCCAACCACAGGTTGCCCTGTACCTGGTCCCTCATATGACCAGTCAGGTACCTTGGCAAGTGTAATCTCCCTTCGCCAAGATTTTCGAGTTTGTCTCGTAAATTATCCTCCTGCCATCCTCCTCGAGTGTTAGATCCACCTGAGGTACAGCGCTTCTCAAGTACGTAACTATCAAACTATGGCAGTCCATACGTCTCATTTTCCAGTCGACCCTACACCCGTCTCATCGTGTTCTAGGTTCGGTGGTGTTCACTAATAATGTCAGCCTTTCGGTTCATTGTTGACAAAAGCGACAGCAGATTACGGGTTTTCGATGACGTAGACTCATCAAAGCCCGAGACTCGGGGAATACAAGGAAATACCTTAAAATACCCTCCCCATCTACCACCACTTTTATCCGGCAATGCCGAGCATTGTTCCTCGATATCAACATCTTTGGTTCGCCGAAGAACTTTTAGTGATTGTTCCTCGTCCAGAATTATACGCAGCTACGCAGTACAATGCATCACGGCACTCGTACGAAGTCGAATGCTGGTTCCTTCGAGGAACTTGGGAGGAGGAACCTTCCGCGACCAGCACTTCGGGCCCGTACTACCCATCTTTGTAAGTCTTGTAGTACGTATCGATGGGAGTCTATTGGCAGCGGCTGCGCCACCGGCATGCGGAACAATCTCCGCGACCCGACGGCAGCTTTGTACTTCGACCGGTTCGGAGTCGACTTACCGTTCCGGACGTGGTATTGACATATGACCATCTTAGCTGCGATTCTCGCGTTTACCTTTTACCATTTTATGGACGTTGTAATCCGCGGCCGACTATGCGGCAAGTGGCCCAAATAACCTTTCCCTTTGTCTTCGCGCATCAAGGGGTGCGACACCTTCAGGATGAAACGCCAGCGTTTGACGCCTGATTTCTTCGGGGCATATGGGCGAGCCATGAGGGCCAGGGGAGGCCTTATCTCGCCGTGTGTTCGTTACTCGACAGAGCCCAAGTGGATGATTTGAATCATTAATCCCTAGGTGTCATTCATCATGCAACACAGCGTGTCTGAACTTGCGCTTGGACGACGCCACTGCGCTTGGCCGAAGAGGCACCCGTGCCTGCAGGACTTAATCAGAGGGATAGATCAAAACATACCCACGCACTAGATGGGTATCCTACCTACCATATAAGGTGGATAAACCTGTCCCTCACTGGTCAACGATCGAAGTCCCAAGGGGCATTGGGTGACATTTGCCCATATCCGCGTAGAAATACACATAGGAACCACTTGAATTGTATGGGCACTGCATCAGTACGCATACCAAGGCACCCTCTGAATACGGATTTCTAATCCACATCTGTTTCAGCAGCGAGCAACCCCAATGGTTATAAGTATAGTCCTGTGCAGTGCCGTATAATTCCAGCGACGTTGGGTAATTATGCGTTCTGGAAGAGCAACTTGGTTCCAAAACTTGCATAGCCCAGGGGTGACCAGTGATGCCATCAAAGATGAACAACAGGCTTGAACCCGTCTGCTCAGACTGCTTACAAACGCTGACGAAATACGATCGTCTGCGTGATGGTATGGGCACATTTGATCGTACCGTAGTATCTGCAGCACTTCACGTTGCTCAACTCCGGCCCTGTCTGCAATCTGATGATCATAATATTTACAGTCATCTGCGAAATCTCATCTGGCAAGTAATCCTCTGTCCACTATGCATCTTCAGTCTCTATCACTCCCAGCTTTGGACCAAGACAGATTGGAGTACCAATGACCTTGGGAGTCTCCTCACCGTCTGCAAACACTCCACCCATATCCCCTGAACTGCGCCAGCGGCCCTAGACCCATCTGCTAGGGCTCTCACATAGTGGAGGCCGCTGAGACCCGTCCAAGTCGGATATGAATGATAGCTCCACGGAAAGTGGAAAGGGAAAGGAGATCATCACTTTGACCATTCCACACATAGGTTCCGCAATTCCAGGCTCAGAACATAAACAAATGGCCATACCCCACTTTTCTGTCCGATAGTCCGGTCTGGCCAAAAACCGCGGCTAGAATTAAAAGTCTAGACATCGATGGACAGATAGGTGCCCACGTGGACGCCTCATGGGTAGGCCACGTTCCCGAAGTTCTTTTTCGCATACCATAGGGAACTTTTCAAGGGATCTTGTGACCAGCAGGGAACGATAAGGATGGTGAGTTACTAGATGTGTAAGGTCGACTTCTACAGACCCGGGCATGCCAGACCGAGCGAAGAGTGATAGCGGGGTTCGATTGTTCGATGGACACGTGGGGATATTTGGGTATACATGACTCTGAGCGTGCCGAGACATTTTAATAGCGGACGAAGCGCCAACGCAAAATTACTGCCAGAATCGAGGAAGATTCGAATTCGTGGCGTCTGAACAGAGTGTCAGAGCAAATGTCCGACAAAAGACACGGTAATAAGGGGGGAAAGGGGGGCAAAGTTCCCTGCAAACATACCGCGGGAACAGAACCGCGAAAGCTTGCTCGCTTGCGGCGTATCCGGAAGTCAGGAATCCTACGATCGCTTGGTATGTCGATCGTAACGGCTGAGCTCTTTCATGTAAGCCGTCGTTGGAGACGGAGACGGGCCAAATACCAATTACCCGCGAGTATGTCACCGATATCGGGTTTGGCAAGAAAAGGTAGACGGAAGGATCTCGAGGGAATGTACTGCGGTGGTGACGCAGTGGAGCTGGAGATAGCCTGCACGGTAACGAGCACTTGACGAAAGGACCCCTTCTTGGGGTCCGCCCGCCAGAATGTGACACCCCAATGAGTCGCGAAGAGGATGAGGATCAACATGGTTGCTGTTGCTTACACAGCTTTCCTCTGCACTTGTAGAACTCCTCTCTGCTTCGAGTGCAAAGGAGTTCATGCATGGGACATCAAGTCACAGGACCAATAACAAAGAGGTGGTGATCACACTACAAAGTCACTGGGTTCTGTGCAACAGAACGTCAGCATTTCACGGCCAATGCATTACTTAAAACGTACCATCTCGCTGAACGAACGGTGGAAGGTACGTTCTTCCCATCGTGACTGGTTACGCATGCGATAAACATGCGAAGAGCAAAAGCACTCGATTCGTTCAAGTTTACCAGTACTAACCAAGTTCCAAAGGGGCCAAGGTAATCAAGGGTACGGTTTTCTCATCGGGATGGAAGTCTTCGTCAGCACGTCATGATTTCTTGTTCGAATCCGACGGCCATCATCGGTCCTAGTCCCTCGGAATTACCAGGGTGATTCCAGGTCACCTTAGGTCACCTTGCGCCGGGCGGCATCCGGAAACGATGTGATCGGTGCGATCGGTTTGAAACGAGTAGTCTGTGCAGGGAGCTTTCGCGCGCATGTGGAGTGAAGCACGTTATGACGGGCTTCGTGCCATAGAACAAGACTTCCTGTCGATCGAAAGCGTCAGTCGTTGGCGGGTCCGGTGTGCACCCGTCAACCTAAGCCCATCATGTGGCTCAAATACCAGCTGGCAGGCGGAACAATGAACGTCATTGACATAGCCAAAAATCACATGACAACTGCGTACTTGCCGTTGTAATTCCACGGATGGCTCCAGCGCCATGTGTAATACCCCCGGGAGCTTCGCGCAGTTCTTGAGATACGCATGCGATTGGAATATTGTCCAACCACAGCACTCAGCAAACAATCACCTCAACCGCTGCACTGAACTGGCAATGTTAAGGAGCTTCCATTCAATCTTAGAAAAATTTACCAGAAAATACCACCACCACCACCACGAGGCTGATGGCACGAATCATGGCGGTGATAGTCAGAACACCACCGACCTCATACATGACCGCATGGTTCACGCGAGTGAGCAGAAAAAGAGAAAAATGTCAGATCATGGGGATTGCTAATAACAGTACTAGTCGTGAAGGGTATGGACTCTTGAGGTTACGAGACAAAAGAGTAGAGGGTAGAGAGGAGACGACGTCGATGGCGTGAGCAACGAACTCGCGCCACACCACGCGAGGAACGGGTGAAGACGACACAAGTAGCCAGAGAGCAAGACGGGAGGTACGGGTGTGTACACAAGAGCCAACACGACCTATACAAATGAGTCTACAGAACCACGCAGCCGTGTCTCTTGTTGCTTTTGGGCCGACTAAGCAGCGCGGCCCTCGTGGCGTACTGGAATACCTCACGCACACCCTCGCCCGTCCGCGCAGAGCACTCCAGGTAGTGCTTCGCGCCAATCTTGTTTGCCACAGCCATACCCTGTAAAACGGATCATGCATCTCGGTCGCATACAGATGAGGATGGAAATGGTACCTCTTCTGGGGTAACCGGGCGCTGGCCAGTCTTCCTAAGGTCCTCGATCACCCGAGGGTCCCGTCGAAGATCCTTCTTGCATCCAACGAGAATGATAGGCAAACCAGCACAGAAGTGCATGACTTCAGAAATCCACTATTCGTTCGGCATGTTCTGTCAGTAAACAGCACTGGAGACGGAGGCAGACGACCAAATAGAAAATCACACCTTCTCCTGCACGTTGTCCAGAGAGTCTGGTGAATCCACCGCGAAACAGATCAGGATGACATGAGAATCCGGGTAACTGAGGGGTCGGAGACGGTCGTAGTCTTCTTGTCCAGCCGTATCCCATAGCGCCAATTCGACGTGTTTGCCATCAACTTCGACGTCCGCCACGTAGTTCTCGAAGACGGTGGGAACGTAAACCTGTGGCAACGTTTGTATGCACAAGGGTAAAATGAAAGAAGTAGGAGGGTACCTCAGGGAACGTTCCTTTCGAGAAAACAATCAATAAACAGGTCTAATAATTGGTCGATATCAGCGAACAGCGTCGAACAGCAGCAAATAAGCAGACCTTTCCACAAGCACCATCACCGACGATGACAAGCTTCCTCCTGATCTCAGACATTATGCGAATGTATGCAAGTTAGACGGTGTTCGTAGAGCGGGCGCACTTGTGTTGGAGGACGGTTGGTGTTGAGCGAGACAAGAAAGTCGCACGATGATACCATGTCGGCCTTTCAATCGGTCTTTCAATCTCAATACATCGGCCCCAGGCTGTGCCACTCGGCAGCACAGCCACAGGCCTGTGCGTGCGAAGCTTGCTTGGCAAACAAGACAGGGGCTCACATCCAACCTAAATATGATAGCGTGTCTCATGATAATAACGAAAAGCCACCACAACTAACATACTCCCCATCGCGTCCATAGCTTCCCATCTTACACAGCTGTATCTCTTCCACATCCCACGTACCAAAATCAACCTCAATCGCATCGCGAAATTGGGCCGGCGCAGGGAAAAACGGGCGTGCAGCGGCAGACATGACCAGTGCTCGGTATGAGAATGGTTGCCGGGGACCCCTGGGCCTTGGCTTGCGGTAAATCGTGTTTAGGACAGTGCAATGTAACTACGTCAGTACCATCACGGGTTAGCGCTCGAATCGCGAAAGCTCCGAATAGGTACGATTATATGTACCTTGAGTGGGCGCCGTTCCGAAATGAACCCTGCCTCCCTAAACGTCGTGCTCACTATATCTGTGCCAAGACAAAAGCATATGAGGACGGACTTCGGATCTGAACGGCTGACAGAAACTTACCGCCAATCCTTTGCAGCCGACGAGCGTCTTCGCTGCCGTGCGAGGGTCCCAACCACAGAACATGTGCATTGTCGGGATCGCCACCGTCGGGCTCCATGATGTTCATCCTATGGAGAGGTACACACAGACGACTCCCTGACAGCAACTCCATGATACGCGGTTTCAAAGAGAGCAATAAAGAGAGCGCATCTTGAAGAGTCTTGGACGTTGTCGGCGCAGACTCATTGCTGAAGTTTGCTGAAGTGCCATCATCCAGGGTCATGACCCCTAGTGTAAGATGCAGACGGCGAGGGGCAATCACGATGGAGCGATCAAGACCAGGCAACGCAGGCGTGCATTGCAGTAATCCGTCCGTAAATGACGAAACGGCCTCTTGCAAACGGACATGATGTCCCTGTTTGATGCGATCACCATTCACTCAGTATGACCAAGAATGTTATACTTGCAATTGGAAGACAGAGGACTGGACCTTTTGAGAAGGCACACAGGTGACATGACGTTCGGACACTTACAGTGGGTCGGTGAAGGCTTTGATGCGTTGTTGTTCCTGCCTTGGTTCCTGGGCCCGCTCTTGTAAAAATGACGACCTCCTCTGGCAGCGAAAGCTGTTCCGGAAGCCATAACGTGTGTCAAGGCAGAGTAGCTGTCAGTGTCAGTAACTAACTGCAACGCCGGTGCAAACCCGTGATAACTCGTCCGGATGATCTCACGCCGTCTATTAGCATTTCTAACTTTATCACCCATCTACACCATGTTTATGTATTACTATCCCGCATGCTCAAGTTCAGCACGAAGAGCTGTTAGTCTGCAATCCTCCTAACCTAACTATAAGACTATTCGCACTAGATATCGGTTTGGTATGTGTAATACTCCTGGTTTTTGTTTTCACCAGTCGTTCGAAAGTTTCAGTACGACAGGCATCGATCGAGCATTTCTTCCCTTGTTCGTCCTCATCCCGCAACTATCCCATTAGCGCACAGTACAAATCATGCGCACGAACTGGCAGTAGAAGGGCAACCATTGCTATCTTGACAAGTTTTTGGTGTGGATTCTGAGCAACATTCCCGATTACATCTCGCGGATCTTCTCCAGTACGTATAGTCTTTAGCGGATCACAAGTTGACGATGGCGAGCCGTTTAATCATCCGTGTTGAACACTTCATTTTGTTCTGCAGGGAAAGCATGCTAACTGGTACTGTAGGAGCCACAGGAAGGAAAGTAAATTGAAGATATCGAGTCAGATTCGTTTGCAGACCAGTGGAATGGGTTGTAACGATGATTGGACCTGCATGAAGTGAGGGCGCGAACCAGTGAAATCCGCTGCATTTTCGCGACCTTGCATTCTCCCTTCCGTACGTCTCACCCCCTGTATCGTGAACCGTGTGCTTCATTTCTCTGTTAAACATTGATTCACTCAGACAGGCACAACCCATTGTAATTTTTCGGAAACCCCAAAGGCCCACGTCCCTTGGCACCTTTACCCGCGATATCGTGCAGCTTCCTCCATTTCAGTGAAGCCCGCGGATAATACATACCTACCACGCGCAATGTCCACCATCGACAACAATGCTGCGGGTTCATATATGAGTAAGTTGCGGATCAGTGTTATGGGGTCCGCTCACTCGCTTCCAGTGCAGAAAGTCGACGCATCAGAGGCAAGCCACGTTACAACGCCGCGAAGCTCGTCGGGTCTTCCGATTCGTCCAAGTGGATTCAAGCGCGACCATTCGTCGAGCAGATCAGGCCGTTTATCGAGAAAACTCCCAATCATTCTATGTATCCTTGTTCAGCTTTTAAAACATGCACCTTAAAAGGCATACTCACTGAGTATGTATATAACCAGGTGACAACGTGTTCACGCGAATCTTCTTGCATCCGAGTTCACATGCCATACTGCGAGCCATCTGCAGAACAGCCGACTTGGACGAGCTGTATGGCGCCACTCCGTGGGCCTGGAAGTACGTTCGTAAATCATGACAGTCTACTTAGGATGGAATCGACCATACCAGAGCAGCGACACTCCCCAACACAGAGGCGACCATTATGATACTGCCTCCACGACCGAAACGTGCCATCTGCCGCCCGCCAGCCTGGGCCGTGAAGAAAACCCCGTTAGCATTCACATCCATGACCTTAATCAACAAGGAGCAATTGTCAAGAAGAAGCCTCTAGGTACGGTTGAGAAGTGGATAATACCTCCTTGAACGTTTCTGCAGGATATTCCAAACAGTGTATGTTAGGCTTAGCAATGCCAGCGGCTGCGACACAGATGTCCAATCGCTGCTCTTGATCGCCGATCTCCTCCGCCTTCTTCCATAACAGGTGTTGATCGCGTACATCTGCGCTGAAATACTCGAGCCTCGAGTTATTCCCAAGCTTGCGTACGAAATCCTGGGAATCTAGGAACACTTCTGAAGGCTCCTCAGGTAGATCGAAGCAATACACAACTCGTGCGCCGGCCTCGCATAGAGCGATTGCTATTTCAAGTCCGATGCCCCTATTTCCGCCAGACACAAGTGCAACACGATCAGCCAAGGTAAACTCGTCGAATATTTTCGGACAAGGTTGGACGAAGGGGTTGGCTTTCACCTCAAGGGCAGCTTCAATACCTAGAGGACCTATAGAGGGACGCGGACTGTATCTTTACTTTCCTGGAAGATGGTTACAAGGTTCGATTTCCGCAGGTTTGGCTTCACTTACTGTTGGACCTCGGATGTCATTTCGGGGAGGTGAGATGTGGGTTACACGTTGCAATGAAAGAAAATGTACTTATGGCTCTCCTTTTAAACTATTGAGTGCTCCGTATCATCGCAAGGACCTTTGGGCAATGCAATGCTTGATGCAACGGTGGCAGCTGCGGAAATCATTCACCCGAGTCTCTCGGAGATTCCCAAGTGTACTTCACTGTATCTTGCATGTGAATAAGAATAGCTCTGTTTCTACGGCTTTGGCAGAGGACTACACAGATATGGGAGCAAGTAGGGAGTGAATCTGGGCACCGAAGAAGGTGGTTCATGTAATGCACAACGCCGAACAACAGACGGACCTCAGAAGGAGTATCATGTTTTCTCGCTCCGACTGACACGCTATGTATCGGGTACTATCAAGTTACACTGTTTTCGGATATCTGTCGTAACGTGAGCCACCGCTATGAATCACTTGGTAGGGAAACAGTACAGCGTTCAGAATCACGTTATGTGGGATCACATCATGGTTCTGATGGGAACTCATTGACTAGCTCCGAATGCGACTTGGCTAGAATCGGTTACTTCTTTGGTATCCAATCACCGTCATTTGCTCCCTGTCTGCTCCCATATCTATGTAGCCTTCTGCCAAAGCTGCAGAAACGCATGTGAGGTATTGTGGAGTATTGCGAGTGGGAATCTCCAAGAGACTCGGCAAACCATTTTTCGCCGTTCCAATCATTGCATCGAGGATGCTGACACAGACCACTCAGTAGTATATAAGGACAGTCTATGCTAAGGGCATTTTCTTTCATCGCAGAGCCTAACCTGCATTTCACCTGCTACAATGACGTCCGGAGTTCACCAGTAAGTGCAGTTCAAACTTGAGGGAATTGATCCATCTAACCATCTTCCAGGAGGGCGAAGATACAATCCGCGTCCCCCATAGCTCCCCTGGGTATTGAAGCCGCCATGGAGGCGAAAGCCAACCCTTCCATCCAATCTCGCCCGAAAATATTCGACGAGTTTGCATTGACCGACCGGGTCGCACTCGTGTCTGGAGGAAATAGGGGCATCGGGCTCGAAATAGCAATCACCCTATGTGAGGCCGGCGCAAGGGTTGTGTATTGCTTTGATCTACCTGAGGAACCTTCAGAAGTGTTCCTAGCTTCCCAGGATTTCGTCCGCAAGCTTGGGAATAATTCGAGGCTCGTGTACTTTAGGGCAGATGTGCGCGACCAGCAACTGCTGTGGAAGAAAGCCGAAGAGATCGGTGATAAGGAACAACGGCTCGACATTTGTGTCGCAGCTGCTGGCATTGTCAGGCCCGGCACGGGTTGTTTGGAATCTCCCGGAGAAGCGTTCAAGGAGGTATGTTCACCGCCCAACTAAACCCAGAGTCTTGTCCTTGACAATCGTTCCTTCTCGTTTAAGGTCATCGACGTGAATACAAATGGGGTTTTCTTCACGGCCCAGGCCGCTGGGAGGCAAATGGCACGCTTTGGTCGTGGAGGGAGCATCATAATGATCGCTTCTGCGGCGGGTAGTGCCGCCGTCACGGTATTGGCTATTCCGCCTCAAATGAACCGTCATGAATTATTTCCAGGGTCCCGAAGTGACATCATACACTTCGGCCAAGTCGGCTGTTCTGCAGATGGCTCGCAGTATGGCGTGTGAGCTCGGATGCAAGAAGATTCGCGTGAATACGTTGTCACCTGGTTATATACACACCCAGTGCGTATGATTTTTCAGTTGCACATTTTGAAAGCTGAGCGGGATAAATAGAATGACTGGAGCATTCCTCGATACGCATCCTGAACTGCTCGATGAATGGTCGCGCTTGAATCCGCTTGGACGAATCGGAAGACCTGACGAGCTTCGGGGCGTTGTAACGTGGCTTGCCTCTGACGCGTCTACTTTCTGCACTGGAAGCGAGTGAGTACACCTAATAAGATTGATCCACAGCATAATGATTTACATATGAATCTGCAGCATTATCATGGATGGTGGACATTGCGCGTGGTAGTTATGTGCTTTCCGCGGGGCGCCGCAGAAATGGAGGAAGCTACACGATAAAGGTAAATGACCTGGGTCAATCACAGGTTTAAAGGCTTGTCGAAACAACCAGGGGAATGGAGTGTACCTGTCTGAGAGTCAATCTATGCCTAAAATTGTAATGCAGTGCGCAGTTCACGATGCAGGGGAGACGGGGGCGAAAGCGGTCCGAGATGCCGAACACCAGTTGTCTCAGGAGCACCATGCTCACTGGCATGCTATTAGGCTACCCAAAGTTGCACTGTGCTCGGACGCCTGACGTAGTGTGGGCCACTACTACTAATCATTTTGCATGGGAGCAGTACAGCCTTCTGAGTCAAAAATATGGTCCTAATGGAAGCGCATTAATTTTCTTCAAACATCGTGCCCCTGCGGCAGCATCTCATGGTATAATTCTCCATTTGTGGGGAAGTCGCGTATTTCTTTGGTGCCCACCCTGCCTGCACCCATATCTATTTAACCCTCTGCCAAACCTCAGAAACGGAGCTGTTTGTACGTGGGGTGCTCTGGAGTGCAGGTAGGAATCTCCGAGACTCGAGGAATGATTTTGGCAGATGCCGTCATTGCATCAAGCATTACCATTACTTTGTCAGAAGGGTCGTAGTGACTAATGGCTGATATAGACCGCTTGCCGGCGATATATAAGGATAGTCTACGAGGGCATTTCTCTCATTGCAGCGCCTAACCTCCATTTCACCTGCTACAATGACATCTGAGGTCTGTCAGTAAGTAGGGCCAAAACGTATGGATATCAATCCCTCTAACCATCTTCCAGGAGAGCGAAGATACAATCCGCGTCACCTATAGGTCCCCTGGGCATCGAGGCTGCTCTTGAGGCAAAAGACAACCCCTCCGTCCAACCTCGCCCGAAAATATTCGACGAATTTGCTTTGGCTGACCGTGTTGCACTCGTGTCTGGCGGAAATGGGGGCATCGGACTCGAAACAGCAATTGCCCTGTGTGAAGCCGGCGCACGAGTTGTGTATTGCTTCGATCTACCTGAGAAGCCCTCAGAGGTGTTTGTTGCTTCCCAAGATTATGTCCGCAAGCTCGGCAACAATTCGAGGCTCGAGTATTTCAGGGCAGACGTACGCGATCAGCAACTGCTGTGGAAGAAAGCGGAGGAGATCGGCGATAAAGAGCAGCGACTGGACATTTGTGTCGCGGTTGCTGGGATTGCCGGGCCCGACATGGACTGTTTAGAATATCCTGCAGAAGCGTTCAAGGAAGTACGCTCGCCATTTGACTAGGCCTGGAGTCTTGCCCTTGACAATCGTTCCCTCTTACTCAAGGTCATAGACGTGAATACAAATGGGGTTTTCTTCACGGCTCAGGCTGCTGGGCAGCAAATGGCACGCTTGGGTCGTGGAGGCAGTATCATAATAGTTGCCTCTATAGCGGGTAGTATCGCTGCCCAGGTATTGTTGCTTCCGCCTCAAGTGGACTGTAAGGATTTACGAGCTCACTTCCAGGGCTTTAGAATGGTAGCATACAACTCGTCCAAGTCGGCTATTTTGCAGATGGCTCGCAGTATGGCCTGTGAACTGGGAGGTAAAAAGATTCGCGTGAATACGTTGTCACCTGGTGTAATACGTACTCAGTGAGTGTGGTTTCTAGATGCGCATTTTTGATAGCTGAGCAGGGCACACACATAGATTGGTTGAGGCGTTTTTCGATAAACAGCCTGAACTGCTCAATGAATGCTCCCGCATGAACCCGCTTGGACGAATCGCAAGACCCGACGAGCTTCGCGGCGTTGTAACTTGGCTTGCCTCTGATGCGTCTACTTTCTGCACTGGAAGCAAGTAAGTGGACCTAATAACACTGATTTACAGCATGCTGACTTACATGTGAATGTGCAGTATTATTGTCGATGGTGGACAACGCGCATGGTAGATATGTGCAATTTTGAAAGGTACCGTCGAAATCCAAGAAATAAATGGAGGAAGCTGTACGATATTGTCTAGAAAGGTGAAAATGTGGGTCTGTGGCCGTTCTTGAGAGCATAGCTAAAATACCAGAGGGATGAATTGTACCTGTCTGAGAGTGAACCAATGTCTATACTTGTGATCCAGCATCAGTTAACGATGCAGGGGGTGGGGCATGTACGACAGAGGGGATGTGAACATGTAGCGGATTCGACTGGTTCAGACCCTCACGTGGCAAAACGATACATCCGTCGCTACCATTCAGCCCCTCAACCATTATGACCGACTCGTTCTTGCAGTCTCGTTATCTTTGAAAGATTTATGGTACGACTCAAGCAGTGTAATCGGGAATGTTGCTAAGAATCATTCGCACCGCAAACTCGCCGGCACAAGAATGGTTGCTCGTCTGCTACAAGTCCGTGCGTGTGAGTAATATGGCGAAGTAATGGGGTGAGCACGAACAAGCTTAATCCATTGTGCGTCTAGTCTGCAGTGGGCGAGGGCCATCGAATTTCTCTGTCCTCATTAAGAGCGTTCGTTTTTTTTGAATCCTGGCTTGTAACCACAGTACGTGGGTGTTATCTGAACGAGAGTTTGGATGCAATCCAATCCCCAGCATCGGCCCTAAATATGAGAGTAAGCGAGAGCCCATTAAATACTGTACACACGTTGAATGAGTAACTCCTTCGTAGCCGTGGAACGTGGATGAAGTCCAGTGCAGGAAAAGTCCAGCGAGATAATGTCCATGATAAGAGCACTGGGTTTCGTTAACTGATATCTGGGCTCAAACCATTGTGGTCAAAGATTATGATGCACCCGTGTCAAAAAGTAATTGCTCAGACCGTCGTGTAATTTTCCAAGTTGCTGCGCGCGCCGGCGTCCGCCAGTGTCCAATAGCGGCCTTCTATGTAGTGCAATACCTTATTCAGCAGGAATCGCGCACAAAGCAAGCTAGTGTGGTAGAGAATCGCTACCCGGGACTTGTCAATCTCGTCTGAACACTGGATCCATGGACCTCACCAAGTGAGCAGAGCTGCAGGAAAAGCTTCCGCGCATGTGGCTCCGGAAAGCCGTCACGTGATAGCGAACTTGGGAACATCTTATCGCGGCGCCATGTGCAACTTTTGAGTTTGATGTCTAGCAGCGTGCCAGCGAGCACGACTTTCCAGGAGAACAAGGTGGAGCTCCTGGGCATCCGCTGTTCGGCGCGATCCCGCAACTGCGAACTGGCTACTTCTCCAATGCGCACACATCACGATTCACTCCCTGCCTGCTCCCACTTCTATGTAGTCCAAGGCCGTAGAAATGGAGCTATTTACATGCAAGGTACAGTAGGCTGAGTCTCCGAGAGACTTGACGAATCATTTTTCGCAGTTCTCATCGTTGCATCAAGCAGTTGCTTCGCCAGATGAAGAATTGTCGTGACTCATGCTGAGACAGAGCACTCAGCAATACTATATAAGGACAGCCTATGAGGACATTTTCCCTCATTGCAGCGCCTAACCCGCATCTAACCTGCTACAATGACATCCGAAGTCAGTCAGTCAGTACAGCCCAGACGTGTGGGAATTGATCCTTGTAACCATTTTTCAGGAGAGCGAAGATACAATCCGCATCACCTATAGGTCCTCTGGGCATCGAGGCTGCTCTTGAGGCAAAATACAACCCTTCCGTCCAACCCCGTCCGAAAATATTCGATGAGTTTGCGTTGACTGACCGCGTCGCACTCGTGTCTGGCGGAAATAGGGGCATCGGACTCGAAATAGCAGTTGCCCTATGTGAGGCCGGTGCAAGGGTTGTGTATTGCTTCGATCTACCCGAGGAACCTTCAGAAGTGTTCCTGGCTTCCCAGGATTTCGTCCGCAAGCTTGGGAATAATCCGAGGCTGGAGTACTTCACTGCAGACGTACGCGATCAACAGCTACTATGGAAGAAAGCGGAGGAGATTGGTGATAAGGAACAGCGACTGGATATTTGTGTCGCGGCCGCCGGCATTCTTGGAAAGCGTGCCACAGACTGCTTGGAATATCCCGCAGAGGCGTTCAAAGAAGTATGCCCACGTCTATTCGAACTTAGAGACTCGTGGCCTTGACAATCGTTCTCTCTTGTTCAAGGTCATGGACGTGAATGCAAGCGGCGTTTTCTTCACTGCCCAGGCTGCCGGGCGGCAAATGGCACGCTTCGGTCGCGGAGGTAGTATCATAATGGTCGCCTCTATAGGGGGTAGTGTCGGTTCCCAGGTATGATCGATCCGGCCTCAAGTGGACCGTCATGATTTACGAGCGTACTTCTAGGGCGCTAAAGTAGTATCATACAACTCGTCCAAATCAGCTGTTCTGCAGATGGCTCGCAGTATGGCGTGTGAACTCGGATGCAAGAAGATTCGCGTGAATATGTTGTCACCTGGTTATGTACATACTCGGTGCGTATGAGTTTCCAGGTGCGCATTTTGGTAGCTGAGCGGGAAACATAGAATGATTGGAACGTTTCTCGATGCACAGCCTGAAGTGCTCGACGAATGGTCGCGTTTGAATCCGCTTGGACGAATTGCAAGACCTGGCGAGCTTCGGGGCGTTGTGACGTGGCTTACCTCTGATGCGTCAACCTTCTGCACTGGAAGCAAGTAAGTGGATCCAGCAACACCGACCCGCAGCATGCTTATATATATATATACGCAGTATTGTCGTGGATGGTGGACACTGCGCGTGGTAGGTGTGTATTATCGGTGGCGTCGCAGAAATCGAGAAAGTTGCACAATGTTGCCTGGCAAATGTGAATGACATGGGCCAGTCACTGGTTTTGGGGCTTTCCGAGAAAAAAAAGGAATGGATTATACCTGTCTGAGAGTAAACCAACGACATAGTGGGGAGACGCACCCACAAAGACGCAAAAATGCAACAATTTGACTGGTTTACACCCTCACTTCGCAAAACATACAATAACCGCCACAAGTATCCACGATAAGAAGACTGCACTTCGCCGCTTCGTATCTGATCCAAACTACTGTGGTTAAAGATCATGATGCTCCAGGAACAAGGCGTGGTTGCTGTCTTCTTAGAACGTCACACTTTTGCTGTGTGCCGGGAGTCTTCGGAAGCGCCTTGAGACTCCCACCTTCTAAAGCACATATCCCAATATTTGACTGGTGTTCGTTGCCTGTTCGCGATCTCCCCAGCACCAGTGCAGTCGACATTGTTCTATATATCGTAAAATGACCTCGGACCGGCATTGCACTGTGCGCTCTTCCACCGATTAAGCAACTCGGCCTTGGACCTACAACATGCCTTGTGCACGAGGCAGCACCAACATCATTTGTTACTTGGCAACTCGTTCATCATGCAGCTGGTCACGCAGTCGACCACATATCCCTTTTTGCTAATTCCGTCGTCACCAGCACAGCTCGAACGTTACTTGGCAAGTCTCATCAAATTACGACAGCCACCCAGTCTTGTTCTCTGGTCTGCATGTTCATGAAGTTGGGATACGGAAAATTAAAAGCAGCGGTCCCGTTCATACCGGTATACCGCTTTCAGGAGGATTCGTTTCATATTCGGGTGGCTAAGTTCTGACCAGCTGACTGCGAAGCGAGAAGCATATTTCAGAGATCCTGTAGAACTTGACAATCAAATACATACATACATTCTCACGCGCACAGCCAAGTGAGACGTACATTTCGATGGGAAAGCGGTGAGTCCGCGTGTGCTCTGTGCTTCTGCAGTGGGTCCATCCATGCAGAATTCCATGCATGCAGGATGACGAGATCGCTCGAAGTTGGTCTATACATAGCCATCGGTGCTTATCATGGTTTGGTACGAAACCGGAGAGGGGTGCCCGCTATGACAGATTAGCACCGAAAAGTCAGATCCACCCAGCGACATAAGGAAGAGTCTATGGTTGCGCAGGCTGTTTTGCCTGTACAAAGGTTTCCACTGGTGTTAGCGGCAACCACGACAAAAAAGCTGAGATGAAAGGGGCCGGAAGCAGACCTTGTGAATTTGAATGGTTGCCGGTTGTTTGGATCTCTGGGTGGCTCCACATCAGGGTCAGGCCAAGTCTAATGTGTCCCTGAAAACATTCGAAGTTCTTTCCTGTCCTTTCCCCACCCACATTGCTATTGCCATCCCCACTCGTTGACGTCCCAGCACGGGCTCCCCCTGTTATCCGTCATCCTCAAGCAGATGTACTGCCAACCACCCTACTAGCTTCAACCCAGCGTTCTCACAAGACATCTTCCTATCTCTGTACAATTTTTCCGTTCTCTGGACATATCTCGGTCCCTTGCGAATCGTCCGTTTCTCACTTACTACGCGCATTGGGCGGATCGGGGTTGAAGCTTGAAGCTTGAAGTTTGTACCTGTGTTCCGTATCTCCTCTCTATTCCCCGGTCATAATTCTTTCAATGCCGAACGTCCCTGACACGCGCCCAACCGTTCGACGAAGAAGGGCAATTGATAGAGAGCGCTTTGCGGTAGCCTCTCGCGATGAAGGCACTGGTGGGAGTTCGGGTGTCGTCCTTAGCATGGACATGGTTTCGACGAGCTATTACGCGGTGTAAGTCCCGTGTGCTTCGCTCGACATTCAAAATTTCTCTTTGCATCGGAAGCAGCAGCCCAGCGTCTGCATGGACGTGCGCTGTTCCCCTCGCCCATGTAGTTCTTCCCTTACCGCACCGTGCATATGTGGCTGATTGAATAACCCCACACGTCCGTGATTCGAGCGTTTGCTGATCCTGCATCTAGAGCGTACAGCGTTCCGGTCCAAATAGGCACTTCCCTACAAAATTTCTCTCTCCAAGTTGACACTGGTTCGTCGGACCTTGTGAGTCATACCGTTCCTCGTGCCTCATGAATCATCCTCATATGATGTGGCTCTGCCGAACGGGTTGTAGTGGGTCGCATCAAAATCTTGCTCCACAAGTTCATGTTCATCTACAAGCGGACGGTTGTATGATCCAAGTTCCTCTTCGACCTCGACGGGTAAGAACTTTACCATCCAATACCTTGAGGGATCTGTCAGCGGTCCCATCGTATGGGACGCGGTCCAGGTTGGGGGATACAGTATCACGAGCCAGGCACTTGGTAAGGGGTCCTCGTTAGATTCGGTGTCACGATCTGGAGGTTGATTTTTTAGGTGCTGCTTCGTCTGTTAATGACGAGCCCTTGTCGTACGGGTTCGATGGCATTCTGGGTCTCGCTCTCCCCTTGAACTCTATCATACAGCAACAGATACCTGCACAGATCGGTAACAACCCTGACGGTGCAGCCTTGTCCTCCAATCTATTCTCCATCACACCCTCTAGTGCTGCTCCAACCCAGCCTTTCTTTTCACTATCTCTTGCTAGACCGGGCTCGAGTCAAGTACCCTCTCTCCTTGGAATTGGGCTGCACCCGTCGGAACTCATCTCTGATCCCTCTCAAATCCTATATTCACAGCTGGTTAGCCAGAGCGTGGGCGAACTCTATTGGAAGACGACCATCATGGCGATCACGGTGTATGTCAATGGCCAATCAATGCCAGTGAAGCTCCAGTCTTTGTCGGGTGCAGGGAAGCCAGCTGCCGTACTTGATTCTGGTATGCCAGTGATACTGACGACATCGGTAATCGCAAATGGCATCTACGGCGCTTTGGGCATCAGCCCTGGCTCAGATGGTCAATGTACACCATTCATAACTCGTAGTGTCCCTTCTTTGCTTAACGAAACTTTCTCTAGATTATGTCCCCTGTTCGACACCTCTGAACATGACCATTACGCTGCAAGGCCAACCTGAACTCCCCATCCACCCTCTTGACCTGACTGTGGAACCATCAGGCCAATCCAATGCGCAGTACTGCGTCGGGCTCATTCAATCCGCCGATTCCGAACTACAGGCAAACACTGCCATTGGTGACATGGTCCTTGGCGTGCCATTCATGCGGAACGTGTACACTGTAATGGCGTATGAGTCGCCGAATTCTGATGGGATCTTCAATACGCCGGTTTCGACGGGATTGGATCCGACGCTTGGGTTGCTGGGTCTGACGAACGCGACGCAGGCGATGGAGGAGTTCCATAATGTACGCGTTCTTAACCAACCGCTCGGTGGTGGGCAATCATCAACCTCGAGCACGTCGCAAAAAGACCTCCCGGTTGGTGTGGAGGTCCTCCTTGGCTTGGTCGGCTTCTTCGCTCTTTGCGTCATGTCGTTTGGGTTGCGGTGGTTCTTCGCGAGACGGAAGTGGCGGAAGCAAGCTGAAAATGAAAATGCATCTTCACTGACATCGTCGCAAAGCGAGCAGGAGCCGGAGGACAAGGTGGGGTATGAGCTCACGAGGCGGAATTCGCGGTCAAGCAGTGTTGAAGAGATCGTCGTTCTCCCAGACACGCTTCGTCCACGTGCGTTTGAGTCGGCCCATGGGGACCGAGGTGTGTCGCAGTATACCGTCGATAGTGGCCGGACGTACGTCGAGGAGACTGTAAATGGTTTAGAGGAGTTCGGGTTCAAGGGTCACAAGGCGAAGGTGACGTCGATGGGGTCGGGAACGGGGACGATGTCATTAACGTGGCGGGATACACTTGTTGGGTCAGAGGGGGATGGAACGCCAACGTCTCCCGTGTTCCCACTGCGCGGCCGCACGACGAGCGAACTTGTTTCTGTGCCATTACTCGCGCACCACCAATCACATCATCGACGGAGCGAGTCCTACGAGAGTGATTTAGGAGAGTTCGGAGTGCCGTCGTTCGCAAATGGGGGCAGCATGGCAGGGATCGGAACTGCCGTGCGAGGGAGTCAGATCGATCCGGGTCTCGGTGGTGGAATGATGCATGTGAGGATGGGGAGTAATAGTAGTGGGATGAGCGGACTGTCGACGGTACCGTTGCGCCCACCCCCTGGTCAACGCTCAAGTATGAACTCGCTATCGAGTCGGAGAGGTGTTATGGGCCCACGAGAGCCGAGACCGCGGAGTACAGCATCAAGAACTGCGACTATGGCACCTGCTATTGAACCTCCGCATCTTTCCGAGGATGATAGGGGTGAAGAGTGGACGGAGTCTTCTCCAGAGCAAGATGCCCAGCTACCATTGTCATGACCTCCGCGTTCTTGTCCGAATGTTCGATTTTAACTTTCTGTTGGGTTTGGATGTATGTTCACATTTATTGCGATGCGCCACTATCCTGCAGATATCTCCCTCACTTGTCATGCTTGTCGCCCGTGTTTCGCCCTCTTTGTGCGTGTCCTGGTATTCGCACACCCTACCGCATGTTATATTGCCATCCATACTCACACCCTTGACATACCGCCGCTCCCCACCGTGATTCACCGCACACAACTCATCCATCCACCCTCTCTCGTTTAGCATCACCATATCCCTTTCCGTTACGTGTCGCATATTAGTGTAGAACCTACAAGGATCTCGCGGACCTCCATATTTTGGATTCGTTTTCGTCGGACGCTGTCATTTACAGGTTTTTTCTCTTTCTCTCTTTCTAGTTGTCACAACACAACGGTATCTATCTATCTACCATCCATTGTGCCCTATGCTGCTACGTTGCGTACCTACATACCTACCTACCTACATATATGCATCTCACGCCGACTTGTGGTCTTGGCTGCTCACTGACAGAGCTGCTCGTACCGACGGGTGTTGGTACGGAGCGTATGATTTTTGTACTATTACGGGAGTAATAGCTTTGTCAATGCATCAAATGCTTTTGCGAGTGCTCACATGGCACAACTGGGAGTGCGTACGCAGCGTACCAGGGTGCACTTCAATCTAACAAGTCCGCAGCTTTATACCCTCCACAAACGTCATCCACGAGCCCTACGCCTTCTCATCATTGCATCATTCATGGTTCCTGGGTGTTTCCGTACATTGTGGCGCTCACGAAGGCATTCTCGGCCTCCAAGCAGTGGTGGAGTCGCTCAAATAAGTACGCCCTAGATGATGTAGAGACTTGCACTTCTGTATTGACTGGTGTTTCTCGCCTGCCTTCTGTCCCAGGCAATGCTGATGATCACTTTCCTGTGTCAACCGCAGCGGATATTCTCGTTCCTGCTTCTGTATCGACGGACATTGCTACCCGTCCACTTTCCCTTCAAGGTGATGCAGAGGATCCTGCTGCTGCATTGACTTGCACTGTAGGAATACCCACGTGTGCGTGTTCTACTCATGATGATGGGGCCAAGTCCAATATCAATAACCAGTGACAGCTTCGGAAACTACGTACCACCTAACTCCTTCCCAAGCTAAGAAGAATGTTGGTCGCATCCATCGATTTCACATCCTTGTCATGGGCAGAGCAAATGCTGGTAAAACTACAATCTTGCAGAGGGTTTGTAACACTATGGATGAACCGGAGATTTTTGATGCTGAAGGACGGAAGGCATGTTGAATATGTTGTAAACTTGTGGTTTTGTGCAACTTATCAATCTGCTATACAGGTTAATGCTAATGTAGTACAAGGTTCAGTGATGGTGAGACCATCCCACAGAATTGCATATTGCTTGCTCTTCATTGTATTCAGCGAGGCTACCATAACATCGAGGATGAGCTGATCTTTGGCAGCAACCCAAACTTTGTCTTTCATGACTCCTATGGCTTTGAGGCTGGCAGTGAAGCACAGTTTTCAGAAGATGAAGGGATTTGTGATGCATCATGCTACCACTCCTAAACTGGAGAAAAGAATACATGCCTATTTGGTAAGAAATTGGAATTTACAACTGATACCTTGGGTATGATGATGCAATGCTCACTCATTAATGGTTTAGGTTTTGCATTCCATTGAATGAGAGCCACAGGATGGTTACAGCTGCTGAAAGGAAGTTCTTTGAGGAGTGTGATACAGGACATGGTATGTCAACACATGATGTCATGTTTGACTTCAGGAATTTGAGTGGCATAGTTCCAGTGATTGTGGTCCTAACAAAGGCAGATGCCTTGGAGCTAGATGCTTGGGAGGAACTCATGGACAGGGGTTTAAGTGTGGATGAAGCACTGGAAGGTGTTGCAAAAGTGGAAAGGGAGATGGTTCAGAGGCATCTCACAAAGGTCAAGAAGTGGTTAGAAGCATCAAGGTTTCCACCTCATGACTTCCAGCTATTGACAGGGAAGTGGTCTATGTATTGCTATCATATGTAGCAGACCTAATCAGAGATCATTGTAGGGATGCAAGATGATGGTGCTGATTGCACTGATCTGATAAAATGCACAACTAATGCTCTGAATGAGGAAGGTCTGCAAAAGCTTCTTATATCAACACAGCAGTCCAGTCTGGCACTGTGTATAGAATATGCTGTAATGAAGTGAGTATTAAAACTGTAGCTCCAACATGTGTTGACACTGTAAAGGGCATTGAGGAAATGCATGGAGTGCCAATTTGGTTTCCAGGAGCCTACAAAGCTGGGTGCTGTTTTGTCAACATGGTTTCCATATGTAAGAAGGGAACCTTCATGTATGGGCAACATGCTGACTGTGTCATAGGCAGTATGTGAAGTCACTAAAGATTGTGAGAATGCATGCTGACATACTCACTTCCATTCCCCTGTGGGTTAATAGGATGTCAGTGGAACCCTTGGCAGACAGTGGAAGACACTGATTGTGTTTGCATACCCTCATGGACTTGGGTTAATAGGGGGTGAGTGAGGTCAGGGCAGGTGGTAGTGGATCTATCCTGACCATGTTGATTCTGCCCTGATGGATTTGGGTTGATAGTCTGAGTGGAGTCATGGCAAGTGTTGGTGGATGCATGCTGACTGTGGTTGCTCTGACCTTCTTGTACATAGGTTTACAGTATGTGAGTGGAATGATAATAAGTGGATGAGGATATATGTATATGCTGACCATGGGTGCTCCTATCCTCATGGACTTGGATTGATAGGGAGTGAGTAGAGTGATGGAGATGGTGGAGAAATGCTGATCATACTTGCTCCCACCTTCATCAACTTTGGTTGGTAGCAAGTGGGTGAACTGCATGTTGGAGGTGAATGTGTGCTTACCAGGGTTGTTTCTGCCCTGATGGATTTGACTTGATAGAATGTAAGTGGAGTGATGGAAGGAGGGAGGGATGCTTACCATGATTGCCCTTATCCTCATGAACATGGGTTTAACAGGATGTAAGTGGAGTGATGGCAGGTGGTGGTGAATCTGGACTGACCATATTTGCCCCTACTCTCATTGGCTAGGTGGTGAGTGGAGGGTCGTGATGGGGGTTGACAAATGCTGACTACAGTTGCTCCTATGTGCATGGACTTGGATTGATAGGGAGTGAGTGTAGTCATGGTGGACAGCAGTGGTAGATGCATGCTGACCAGTTTGCTCTGACCTAATTGTAGACTGTGAGTGGAGTTGTGGTGGGTAGTTGTGGATGCATGCAGATAATTGATGTGTGTTTTCTCCCTCATTGGCTAGAATGTGAGTGGAGTCATGAGAGGGGATGGTAGATGTATGCTGACTATGGTTGCTTCCACACCTATGGGCCTAATGGAGTGTGGGTGGAGCGATGAAGCGGTTGTGGATGCATGCTAACTATACTTGTGCCCACCCTTATGGACTTGGGTTGCTAGGTTGTAAGTGGAGTGATGACAGGTGGCAGTGGATGCATGCTGACCATATTTACTCCCATCCTCATGTACTTGGATTGGTAGGGAGTGAGTGGAATGATGATGGGTGGAGGAGGATGCATGCTGACAATTGTTGTTCCCACCTTCATGGGCTTAGCTTGTGAGTAGAGTGATGAGAGGCAGTGTTATGTGCTGACTATTTTTGTTCTTACCTTCACTAATTAGGAGGTGAGTAAAGTGATGGCAGGCAGTAGTGGATGCATGATGACCATACTTGCACTTGCCCTCATACTTTGGTTTATAGCATGTGAGTAGAGCAATGGTAACTGGTGTTGCATGGATAGTGACTATGTTTGTTCCTGTGCTCATGGACTTGGGCTGATAGCTTGTGAGTGGAGTGATAGGAGGTGGTGAATAGATGCTGACCATGTTTGTCTCCACCTTCATGGATTTGGCATGACAGCTTGTAAGTACAGTGATGGCAGGTCATAGTGGATGTATGCTGACCATGTCTGTGTCCATACTCATTGATGTGGCTTGATAGCATGTGAGTGGAATGATGACAGATGGTGATGGATACATGCTGAGCATGTTTGTTCCCATTCAGGTTGATAGCAAGTGAGTGGAATGACAAGGGTGGTGGATACCTGTTGACCATATTTGCACCCAAACCCATGGACTTGGATGGACAGGGAGTGAGTGTGGTGATGGCAGATGGTTTGGATCCATACCAACTGAGTTATTCATGGATTTGGGCTAATAGTCTGTGAGTGTGGTGATGGCAGATGGTTTGGATCCATACTGAGTTATTCATGGATTTGGGCTAATAGTCCATGAGTGGAGTCTTGACAGCCAGTTGTGGCCCTGTGGATGCATGCTGACTATGTGTGTTCTCACCCTTATTAACTAGTATGTGAGTGGAGTGATGGTAAGTGGTGGTGGATGAATGCTGACCATGTTTTCTCCCACCCTCATTAACTAGGATGTGAGTGAAGTGATGAGAGGCAGTATTGGATATATGTTGACCCTGTTTGCTCCTGCATTCATGGTCTCTGGTTTGTAGATTTGAGTGGAGAGATGGCAGTTGGTCATGGATCTATGCTGACCATTTTTAATTCCACATTCATGGGCTTGGCTTGATAGGATGTGAGTACAAAGTGATAGCATATTGTATGCATGCTGACTGACTATGACTGTTCCTGCTCTTGTGGACTTTTGTTAGCATGTGAGTGGAGTGATGATAGGTGGTGGTGGGTGCATACTGATCATGTTCATGTTGCCCCCACTCTCATGGGTTTGGGGTTAGTGAGTAGTAAGTGGAACCATGTGATGTATTGGAGGATGCATGCTGATCATGATTGCTCCTACCATCATCAATTTGGGTTGATTGCATGTACTGACCAGTGGATTCCCTACAAGTGGTGATGGCTACATACTTACTATGCTTGCTCCCACACTTATGAATTTGGGGTGATAGGGAGTGAGTGGCATGATGGCAATGGGTGGTGGATGTGTGCTGATCATGTTGCTTCCACCCTCATTGCTCTGGGTTGATAGGGAGTGAGTGAAGTCATGGCCCAGAGTGGATGTATGCAGACTATGTTTTCTCCCTCTCTCATGGACATGGGTTGATAGCAAGTGAGTTGAGTCATGGGAGGTGGGGGTGCATGACCGTTGACCATGTTCACTTGCTCCCCAATGGAATTTGTTTGATAGATTGTGAGTAGGATAATTGCAGTTAGTGGTGGATGCATGCTGATCAATCTACTTCCAACCTTATGGATTTGGATCAGTAGACAGTAGGTGGAGTCCTGGCAGGTGGTGATGTTTGCTGAATATGCTTGTCATTTCCCTATATTATTTGGGTTGATAGGAAGTGAGTGGAGTTATGGCATGTTTTGGTGAATACATGCTGACTACATTTGCTATCTCTGATGAACTTGGGTTGCTAGTCAGTATGTGGAATTATGCAGGGATGATAGATGCCTGTTGACCATGCCTTCCCCCACATTCCTCTTTGGATTTGGCTTGATAGGAGGTATGTATGTTTGCTGCTTTGTGCTCACTGAGCAGCTTAAAACACATGTTTGCTCCCACCCTCATGGCCTTTGGGTTGACAGCTAGTGAGTGGAACCATGGTAAATGATGACACATCCATACTGACACTGCTCACTCCAACCTCTTTGGTGCTGGCTGCATGGGAGGTAAATTTCATTCCTTGTGGTCACTGGATAGCTTCTTAGCCTTGTGCAGTTTGTGAGTTGATTTAGTGCAGGCATGCAAAAGGCTCTCTTAACAATATATTTTCAGGATGTGAGTGCCCCCCCCCCCCCCTTGTGCAATTCCACTTTAGCCTTATGCTTCTGAATGCAATCATCAGCCTGTCAGTCCTACCTGATTTATGCTGTTCTCAACTCCTCAATTTCCTGTCACAGCATGTATGAACTTTCAGCTGTTGCTCTGCATTCACCACTTATCAATAGTATCTACAGTTAGTATGCAGGCATAGTTTCTTATCAAAATGGATGCCATGATAACCATGATTCCCTGTTTAGGTGGTAGGTTTCAGCATCCAGATGGTGGTGCTTCTCATTGAACACAATTCTAAATATCACAGCCTCTAATCACACCTTCATCAAATCCCTTTCTAATGCCAACATTGTCAATTTCTATGCAATGCCCAATTATGTATGTTGCAGAACATGGTATTGGTGAATTATATTTCCTCAGTCTTTTATACACACAGGCTTACCATTGCAGGATCCATTCTGGTGCTTGAGTACTTGTATTTCTTGATGCAAGTTGATCCAACACATGAACATGGTGTTGAAAGACACCTCAAAATTGCTGTGAAGGAGTATCAGATGTCAGGTGTCCAAGCTAAAATCATTGCCCTTATAGCAGCTGCTTTTGAAGAACATAGTGAAAATGTGGAGGCTTTGGTCCCTGTTCTTGTGGATATTGCAAAGGCAAATCAGATGTGTAAGGTTACAACTTTATGGATTTGACATGGTCACTTAATATTTCTTCAGCAAAAAAAACTATTGGAGTAGGACAGGATAGCAATGATCTTTCCCTTACCAAGTACTTGATGCTACATATTGCAAGTTGATCAACTGTTCTATTCTAGAGATGCTCAATGTATGAATCAATGTATGTAGCAGTGCAACAGAATCCCCTATAATAATGCTAATGCAGATGCCTTTGAAAACTACAGTGAGGGCTGGATTTTCAACCATGTGCCTGTTTCTGTATCTGCTGCTTGTCTCAACAATGTCAATGATGTAAATGGACTTACATAAAAACTTTTAATTCCTTCAAAATGTACAGTTCCCCACCAGTCATTGGTCAAACCTTACAGATATCTATACAAATATACTCAGTCATGTGTGAGTAACAACAACATCTCTGTATTCACCTATACAAATATACTAGGTGTGGAAATAAGTATAGTAAGAGAAGGTTAAAATGTGTTTATGCTCACCTCAGTTGTGCATGAGTAGTGACAATATCTGAGGTGACAAAACTACAGTGTGAGACTATATATCCCTAAGTATAATAATACCAAGACACTTGGGTGTTGAACCCAGAGATATATGACAAGGGCTGTCTTGTTGTGAGTCACACTACATTCTTTGTAAGTAATGAGGAACATGCACATAAGTGTGAGACACTGTGAATATAATAAGCATAAGGGCACAAGAGTTAATTGCATGAACAACAAGTATGAAAGACTTAGAATGG